ACGCACACAAGCAACAGACTTGTCGGGAACTGTATATCTCTATGAAAGGTTATAATCAAACAGAATTAATTTGGCTGGGGGGGGGGGGGGTCAGTTTTTCCTCTTTCCTCTTCTACTCTGGCATTTGGGATTCAGCACCAGCAGGCTAAAAGCCCCCAAATTGTTTAAAGAACCAAAGCAACCCAGAAGTTATTTATTGTACCTTTAAGAGAAGCCACGGCATCTTTATATTTTACTCTAACATCGAGTGAAACAGGCCAGAGGCTGACGTTGAGCTAACAAAGCTAACTATTACAGCAAGCTAACAGCAAGACGGTCAACAACACCAAAGAGATACTACCGTAATAAGTGTAGTAAATGCTTTCTACGGCAAAACACCCAAAAGTGCTAACACCAGATATGTATTTATCTACTTATCAACTTACTGTGTATGACTTAACTTGTCATCTACCATCTGTAGGCGCTGACCCGTAACTGGGAACAGCCATGAACCTTACGGCAGTGAGAAAGTTACTATTCCTACAACAATTGGCTACATTAACCTTATTTGACCACAGGATGTCATTCTTACATGTTGCACATTTAAGGATACTGGAATTAAAAAAAATCTTTCCATTATTTATTCCAAGACTAAAGTCCAAAGTTTTATTTTTTGAACTACTAAACTATCCTTTCATATTATGTGCAATACTGTGTTTAATTAGATCATAAATCAGGGACAAATCTGCATTTTGAGTGGATAAAAACCTTGAACCAGAGGATGTCAGGAATGGGTTTGCCCTCAACAACTACAGCAAAGCGAGGGGTCTCCCCAGCACCAACGTCCAAGTCTTCCATGATGGTCTCAAATGTGGGTGGAGCTGTTGATGTAGTGGTGAGATACAGTAAAGAGTTCCACCAAATGTAGATAAATGTCATTATTGATGCTTGACCTACACCAATGGATATTTCTCCTACCTGCTATCTCCACATCGAAGGTGCAGCTGTCGCTTCCATATTTGTTGGAGGCCAAAAAGGTCATCTCCCCAACATCAGAGCCCTTCACTTTGAAGAGCTTCAGGGTGTGCTGGTTGTCATCTGGCATAGTCATCTCATACAGGCCAGGCTTGTTGGCCAACATCACTCCCTTCCTGAGAATGATTGTGTTTTAAACCATCGAGCTTAGAAGATCAGCAAGAATGTGCTTCACAGCTTTCCATCAAGATTTAATGAATTACCTTTTATAATGAACCGGTAGGATAACAACATAAATGTGAGGTGGAAGGTATAAAATACTAAATACTCTACAGATTTAGGATTTTTTTATTTAGTTACAAAAACAGAAGCGATCCAGATACCTCTTCCAGGTGACTGCAGCATTGACGTGATTAAGGGTGACTGAAATGGTGACTGACTGGTTCTCAATCACAAACACAATGTCTGGTTTATCAATAATCACTGGAGCTTCCTGAAGGTAGGGACCTAAACAAAGACATGTCTATTTAATTAACTCTCAAAAATAAATGAATGGTTTCTCCGAAAATGTGGGAGTTTACCTCGGTCTAGAAGTTGCACTGGATCTGTGGCTGGTGAGGGTTTGCTGAAGGCTTTGGAGGTGATGGTCAGGACTCTGAAAGCATAGCGCACTCCTTTAGAGAGAGTTGTGATGGTGTAGGTGGTTTCCTTCAAGCCAGAGGCTATAATAATCCACTGGATGGAGCCTAGGGCTTGCTGTTGGATGGCAAACATCAGGGAGCTGGGATCTGAAAGGAAACAGATGCCTTCAAGAATTGCAAATCCTTTTAATACCTCACAGTATTTTCTTTCATTTTAATCATCATATGTACCAATGGAAGGGTCCAGCCTTCTTGGTTTCTTCCAGCTTAAAGTGATGGCTTTACCAGTGATGGACTCTATCTCTGGAGTTCCATCTGGAGGGTCAGGTAGGATGTCTGAGAACAACAACAAGGGGTTCGGAAACATAAGAAACATCTGTGGAGTAGCCTGAGGCAGTGATAGGCATCCTGTGTAGGTTTTGGAGCATACATGCAAAAAAGAAAAACAAAATGGCACACCTGTTACATAGAGATGTGCGTAGCAGGTGGCTTTTCCTATTTTATTAGAGATTACGCTCTTGTAGACCCCAGCATGAGCGTGGCACACCAAGCGGATTACCAGGCTGTGGACATCACGAACTGGAAATGAAAAGCAGAGATGACGAGCAGCGAAGTGATGCAATTCAATCTCTCTTGAGACACTTGTCCCACTGCCCTTTAACTTCCTTGGTTGGGGTTTTTGTGTTGGTTTGGGTGTGCAAATAATCCAGTAAAGTAAATGTTTGAGCATTTTATGTAATAAACCTTTGCAAAAAAGTCCAAATCTGTAAAACCGTAATAGAAAATGTGCCTTGTAACCCTAATTTCAGATCTGGTGCAAAATTGTAGAGCGGCCATATACATTTTAGTTGCATTTCAAATACAAAAACAAAAGAAGATGAATAGAAAATGAGCAGCAGGGAGCATAATAAATATTTGGATATCATTAGGTATTGGGCTCATCGTAGGGACACATACACTGAGTCATTTTCCTGTCTTCTGTGCTCTCAATCCTCTTGCCGTTATGGAACCAGGCGATGGTCGGGTACGGCAAACCAGCCACTTTACATTTAAGCACAGCCTCTTTTCCTTCAATCACATCCAGATCGTAAAGAGGTTTGATGAAATCGGGCATCGAAAAGCGCTCCACCTCGTTTTCCGGGACCTCTGGCTCCTCTGGGATTGATGGCATCTTCTCCAGCTTGGCCCTGAAGCCAAGAAGAGGCACAAGAAATGAGAAGACATCCATAACGATCAGGAATAACCACATGAAGCTCCCTCTTACATCTGAGAGGAGATGGCTGGCCGTGGTTCTTGTATGTAGAGTTCAGCAGAGTTCTCTGCCTCACCATGACTGTTACAAGCTCTGACTGTGTAGAAACCCTCATCGTCACTCGTCACATGGGAAATAATCAGCGAATGGCGCCCACCTTCCTGGAGAACACGAACGTCTTCACTTTCTATCAGGGGCTGGTCTGAAATGGCAAAAATCCACAAGAAACTGTGTTTCATAAAGGCCTGGATACAGAAACACACATGAAAGATAACAAACGCTGAAATTATCAGGTACATTTATTACATTGTCATACCAAAATGACTCCAGAGGACCGTAGGAGGTGGCGTTCCACTGACTTTGCAGTCAAATCGAGCATTCCGTCCCTCAATCACTTCCAGGACATCCAGCTTACGAGTAAAGAGAGGCTCAAGGGAGGGGATGACTTTGAGTTTACCAGATGATGTCACTTCCTCTAAAAGTAAGAAAGATAAATTATTTAGTAATCTCTCATTATTGTGATGAACCCAATCCCTGGGCCTGCCTTTAGCTGTGCTGAGCTTGCACATGTACGTCCCGCTGTCGTCCTCGTGAACCGAGTTGAGCAGCAGCCTGCACTTTCTTCCATCAAAGTGCATCTTACAGTTGAGCAATGCCGGCTGGATGAGTTTCCCATCTGCAAGCCAGTCCACATCAGTGTCCTTAGGTCCAGTGATGTGGCACTCAAACAGAACCGTGTCCCCGGCCTTTGCTGTGATGTCCCTGACTGGGCGGACAACAGCCAGACCTGGCTCAACTGGAGGGGCTGCAGACGAACACGGAACATTGAAAAGTGCCGGATTTAATGAATGAAACAGTTCAGTTACAGACAAATTGAAAGTTTTCAATCATGCAGATTTGAGTCCAAATAAAGAAAAACCTTAAAGTTGTGAAAATCGTGTGAAGTGACGGGACTCTCCTACCTTTCACCTCCAGCCTTCCTTCACACTGCTTCGTGCCATACTCGTTGATGATCCTACACGTGTAAATCCCGGAGTCGGACCTCGCTACTGACTTGATGGTCATTTCAAACGTGCCGTCTGTCGTCTCACGCACAATGTGTCGTGGGCCGCTTTTAACAGTGACTCGGTCCCTCAGCCTGGAAAAGGTTAAAGGAGGAATGTCACAAACACAACTTTTGTTCTTCACCAAGATGATACATTCTCCATGAACAAATGGAATTTTGAGTCAAACGTAGAAGAATAAATGTAGAATCAAATAAATAAAACTAGATAAAAGAATGTAAAAACACAGGGACAGTGTCACACTCTACAATCCAAAGAATAGAATATTTTTTATTAACATTTAAGCAGTTCTGACATTAACTAGCAGACTGTTCCAAAGTTTAGGGGCATTGACTGCAAAAGCCCGGTCACCCCAGCGTTTACACTTGGATTCGTGGTTTCCATAATGGTCCCACACGGGTTTGCCATAGATTTTAACAGACCCTACGTGTTTACAGAGGGACCCAGACGGCTTGACTCGCACATGTGCCTTTTAAAATCCATGGGGGCAAACCCCTATAGGGTCACCATGGAAACCGCAGACAAACCCTGTTAGCACCCGTGCGGTGTGCCCAGATATATCCATATGGGGCCCACCTATGAATGCTGGCAGGGACCTGATTTTCTGAAGGAACCTACCAGTAAAGCATGGGTTTGGGTTGCCCACTTATTCGAACAGTCATGGTGGCTTCCTGTCCTTCAATGACAGCTTGATCCGTTATTGTTGCCTGTTTAAAATGTAAGATAGAAAACTTCAAACTTTATCTGAAAACACAAAGTTAACTGCAGATCGTAAAGACGGAGGACAGAGGATTGATCTGCTCTGGATGGACTCACCAGAAATGAAGGGGGCTCTCTGAATCGTGTGTCAATAGCTCGTCTTGTCTCTTGGACTCCAAAGTCCATGGCCTCTTCCAAAGGACTCAGATACTCCTCATCAGATGTGATGGGGCTGCTGATCTCCATCGGAACGCCCAGAGTTCCTCTTGGCTCGAGCACAGACTCTAAAATCAGACATCATTTTAGTTTCTATGTTGCACAAACGTTAAGAATTACTATCCTTTGTCTCTTTAAATTAATATTTTTTTCTTGGTGTTGGAGTTCATGAACACATCTCGCCCTATAGCTGTGATCCGGAATGCAGCGTAATACAATGCCAAAAGAATGGTGTGGATTCACAGTGAGTGGAGCTGGTGGGACTCAGTGGGCAATTTATAGGTTCACTTTCACCTCTTAGTTGCTATGGTAACTATAAGTGAGGGTGTTCAGCTGGAATATATGGCATGCACACGTCTCACTCAGGAAGATAACAATAAGGGAGTAGCAGAGAAACACAATGCCAGTGTGGGAAGAGAAAACACAATACACCGTTCTGTCCGCTGGCCGCTTTGTGAAAATGTAGACCACCTTTAAACGACCGCTGAGTGGGACGGAGTCCTGCTTCATTATGAGAGTCTTTAGAAACGATGGCATTCCTGTTATTTTATCTGACATAACCAACGTTATATAGGAAAATGATAAAAGCAATGTAAAGTCCTTTCATCTCCATAGTCCCATTGATTACTTGAGCCAGGCAACATCCATCCATCATCATTGGTGCCCACCTGCAGCAGTCCCTGATTAGAAGGGGAGTACCCCCTGGACAGGTCTCACGGTGCCACTTAAACCCAAAGACACATTCATGCCCACGCCTGCACACCTGTGGCTGAGTTATCATGCATGATTTTGATTTGTAGCTAGGGATCAATAACCATGGGGAAAATTAGGTGTGCCCACTCTGTTCACAATAGACTCAGCTTGAGCCCAAGACCATCTTGCAGAGGGGCAGCTGCCCTAACAACCACTCCATAGCTGTTGTTGAAGAAATAAATATGTTCATTTTGGCATACGTCATGCAAATTTTGAACTTACCTGCTTTAACTAACAGAGTGGCACTGCTGGATGCTCTTCCCACCTGATTAACTGCACTGACACAGTATTTTCCACTATCGCTTGTTTTTGCTGATTTTATGAGCAAACTGTGTCGTTCACCCTCCACTTTTACTAGACAATGTGCGAATCCTGAAGCATCAATGTTGTCCTTTGTCCAAGTGACTTAAACAGAGAAAACAATGAAAAGAAATTAGTCCTCTTAGCTACCCACTGTTTAAATGTATAATTCAAAACATATTTTGCTGTTTAACCACTATACAACTTGTGGTACCTTCAGGACTAGGGGTTCCTGCAATTATAGCTTTGAGTAGCACGTCTGCCCCAGCAGATGCTACAGTGTCCTGAAGGGGAAACTCAAACACTGGAGCCTCCATTGGGTCTTCTTCAGCAGACATGTAAGAATCATCTGAGGAATCTGCACATTGCAAATAGTTGTATTTCATTTAAAAACATTGGAGAGTTTGAAGCAAACAGACTTCATACAGTGATGAGAAGCTTTTTCTTTACCTTAAGCAATACATACCTAACTCTGGGGACAAAGGTCGAGAGTGACGGCCTTTTCCTTTAGCCTTTGGTTGTTTTCGCTCTTTGGAACCAGCACTCATCTGCTGGGGCTCACTTGCCTTCTTAGGAACATCCTCTTCCATCCTTTCCTCCTCAACAATAATTGTGGGGACTTTTAACTTTAAAATCTGTCTGGAAGGCTGCACTTCCATTTGTTCCTCTGTTGGACTGACTGAAGCTGTCCTTGGAGGTTTCAAAGGACTTTGAAGAGAAATATCTTGCGTGATGACGGTCCTTTTCTGTACTAGAGGACTTTCAGGTCTAGTTTCTATTTTCCTGACTACCACTTCCATTGGTGTCTTCCTCCCTGAATTCTCCTCCCTTTGGGTTGTTTGTGCAAGAGATTCTTGAAAGTGTGGGGATTCTTGCATTCGAGATACTCTTTGAACCAGCGGACTTGGTGGCCTTCGTTCAACTTTCCGTAATGTCATTGCAACATTTGGCAACTCCTCCCTTTGTTGTTGACGTAATGCCGGTGAGGATGACCTCTGAACGATTTCTATCACTGGACTGACTCTGTTTAACTCTCTCACTGATCGTTGTCCTGGTAAGTCAGATAGGTGCACCGACTCCGGGGGCCCAGCAGCCTCTCGGCCAGCTGTTAGATCTGTTGAGCCGGCGTTCACGGATTTTTGAAGGTGGAATTGCTGCAGTGCTTGTGTTTGTTTATGCTGCACCAGTGGGGGACTTGATTCCCTCTCTCTTTGTTCCTTCACCCACTGTACCCGTTCCCTTTCCTGTAGTTTTTGTAGGACTTGTGGAGGAATTGGTTCGATTTTTCTAAAAGGTTGGCACTGTTTACCCTTCAGAGTGAGTTGTTCTGTGGAAAATGATTTTTTCAGATGGGGCTTCCCAACAAGTTTTTTGATGCGGTGCAGCTCCTCCGTGAACTTGTTTTCGATGTCCTGAACTTTTTGAGAGTAGCGAGGTTTCTCTTCCAGTGAAGCAGCCCTTTGTCTAAACATGGATCTTCGTTCAGCAGCATCCTCTTTAAGAGCCTCCCTAAGATCTTCCCTTGAACTTTCTCGGGAGATGCCCAACCGGCTTCCACCGTCGTCCGAATCTACGGATCCAGCATGATTGAAGCCTGCCCATGATCTTCCTGAGATAGATCCTTCTGGAATATCAAGACTTCGTCTGCGCTCCTCCAAGCCACGGACCTTCTCGAAAACCTTCGAACTTGCCCTTGTAAGCTTTGGAGAAGGTCTCAGAGCAAACTCCTTCCGGGAACACTCACTCAGTGGAGTCTGTGGTCTGGAATCCTGAGTACCTCCTTGGGACACACTTTTTGGCTGTCGAATCTTTTCTTCAAACTCCCCGGGAACTGTGTCTTGATATTCCGATGGCACAACAACTTTTTTACGCAAGCTGACTGGAGTAGTTGAACCAGAGCGGCTTGGCATTGGAGAAGTGGAAGTGCGTTTGACCATTCTTGGGGAGGGTGGTGGAAGGACATGCGGGAAAGATTCTCTTGAAAAATCTTCTGACTGGCTTCTAAAACAGAGGATTTAAAGCAAACTCTGTTGGATTCCGTGGGCATTTATTAGTTTGTAACATGAAATTTCGATCCAGCATGTGACGTATTTTTTAAGTGCTAAGGTTTGTGTCTTACCTGCTGGAGTAGTCTTCTTGTCCTTGTGTTCTAATCATGTCCTCACCAGATTTGCCCATCACTGTTTCTCATGAGAAATGAAAACATCAAAGGATTAGAAATGTAACTATAGGGCAACATTCATCATTGAAAGAAAAAAAACAAAGTTGGTGATGTGCATGTAACAAATTGGACTGGATTCATATATGTTCATATATATTTTTTTCTATTCCTCATTAGATTATGTGAACTAAGTCTGTGGACATTATTCCTCAAATATCTGCCGCTGAATAAAAAGTATTATGGAATAAAAGGAAAAGGCAAAAGGACAAAAACAGCTGGAAACGTCTTGGTTACCATTAGGAACAGCCTGGTCCTCAACATCGCCACCATCTTCTTTGGTCTCAAATTCTTCTCCACCTTCATCCTCTGTTGTTTCAGAATCTGAAAAGTCGTCATTAAACAACAATATTATTCAAAGGAAGCACGATGATGCTGATGATGATATTTTTGGGCTACTTAATCTCATGATTTATATGCAACAATGATGCAAAGAAGGGGTTCTTTGTTAATATAGAAACAAACTATTCGTGTCAGTGAACACTCTGTTTAGTAAAACACAATCCAAAATCCAAACGCTTGTTTGAAGTGATCGCACAATGCAACCCCCCAATTACAGCCATTTAAAAATGCTAATTTTACATTTGGTTTTGAATTCATTCCAGCTTGTAATTGGGCCTTTTGACGGACTTTACATTTAGTTTCAAAAACGCAAAAGTTGACCGGATAAACAAACGATAATATTCTGCTGCCCGGTTTCTCTGGCCTTGATTCCTGTTACATCAGCTGCTAATTAACATGAGAGATGAAAACAAACCCTCTGATAAATATAACTTTCATTTTTAGAGTCATTGTTTGGACTGAAAATAGAAAGAGCTACTGAGTCATGGGCCTCCAAGCGGCTCTCATGAGGTGTTTGCTTCTCAGTAGGTGGAATCACTAATAAGAACAAAAATGATGCTGAAAATGCACAACAGAGTGATGCTGGTTGTTACTGAGAAATAAAAACATGTTTATATAAGTTTGGTAGAAAAAACTAAACATTTTTTTATGATGCATTTGATGCAAAATATTGTCTGCTCAAATATTTAACTAGAAATGTATCTGCACTTGCATGCAGAATCTGAATCTTGCATCCTGAATCAGAGGTCATTCTGGGCTCCATTACCCTCTGATAAATGTCCTTCTTGTTGCATGAGATTTACCTAGTTAATGTCTGAGGTACATTAAAAACGCAGCATGAGAGCTGACTAAGGGGCTGCACAATAAAAGCAGACTTATAATACAGTAAGTAAAACGGATCAAAACAAACAACAATAAAACAGAGCAAGAGAAAAACAATCAGCCAAATGCCAAGTCACAGAATTGAGTCTTCAATAGCGGGTGAAAGACGGTGCCTGAAGAGTGTGGGGCAGCACCCCTGTGATTTGGACCTCATGGTGGGTTTCCGAAGAGACAGGAGCTCAGCAGACCTCTGGGCGCTTGCAGGAATGCAGGGCATGATTAGGTCTGACAGATAAGATGGTGCAAGACCATTCCAAGCTTTTAAAACAAAGGTCAGGGCTTTGAACTTGACCCATAAATGAATTGGGAGCCAGTGTAGATGGTCCAGGACAGGATTAATGTGGAGTAAATTGCATGTTCTTTGCATGTATTTTTTGATTTTTGGTCTTAATTGTGCAGCTTGTGTCTTATAGAAGTGTTTAAGATTGTTGCAACAAATCTGAGTGACAAGATAGAGTTAGTTTTTTTTTAAATTAGCTTTTATATGAATTTGAAAAACCTTTTTATTGTGAACGTTTACGTTAGTTTGGACTCTTTTTGTAGCTTCCCCACAAATAAACTAAAATGTCAATACAGGGATAAACGTATGGACTTGAGTCACATTCAAGTTCAGCAACTTTCTACTCAAACTTTGACACTAATAATTTTCATCTTCACTGGGACTTGAAAATAATTGATATTTTACAGAATATAAACAACAACGTGGTCCCAAATTCAGTGGATAAACAACAATTCCAAGCAGGGTGAAGAATTTCTTTCAGACTCATAAATAAACATGAAAAAAATGAACAATTTCTGTGGTTTTAGTGAGAATGAGTCGGTTTGAGGGTGTTTTTATTCCTAATAGCTATAATGAATGTATATCAAAGTCATGCATTTAATTATTTAATGAAAAGGGCTTCAGCAGGTTTGTTTAAGCACCACGACTGCCTCTGGCTCAGCCTGCTGAGACAAATAGTCCAGTTGTCAAGGAGAAAGAATATTTAACTCTCCACGTTTAATTAAAGGTGAAACTAGTTCATAATCAAAGCTTAGGGAAATTAAAAACAACACTTGCCTGACGTTTTCTTTGGTCAGATTTGATTTCATGGCCACTCTTGGTTTGTCCTCCGAAGGTATACGTTTATGATTTTTGCCTTGGCTCAGGTTCAACAGCAGGGTATTCCCCGAGACGCACTGGGGGTTCCGAGCCACTACTATTCAACTAAATAAGGACATTTTGCATGCATACGGATCAGTTTCTGATGTGCTCAAACTCTGCAAACAAACGGGCAAAAATCCTCCCCATTTAAATGCAAAGAAGAATAAAAAGGAGGCACTTTGTCCCTGAACAAGTCAGAGTCGCAGCTGGTCCTTTGAGGGGATCCATTTCTGAAAAGCGTGGAGCGCAGACCTCCATCCGCAGGTGGAAACGTCTGTTGAATTCATATCATCCACTCTGAGGGAGCCCCTGTGTCCACACAATAGCCAGCGGCAGTGTAAGCATCTTCCCTCGCCGCGTTCCACCCCACAGGCAGAGCACACCGATAGGCAGAGAAACCAGTGGGAGTGATCCAGCCCTCCTGAGATCAGTGTTCTACAGCACTGGTTGACATCTCTCATCGTTCCCTTCCTCCCCAGTTGTCTTATTCTCATACTGGTGTAATGAGCCAATGTGGTGTTGTCAGCTGAAAGAAGAGGGGGAGATTCACTGCAAAGGAGTCCTCCTCACTCCTCTGCATTGGTAGAAGCTGTTAGCTCTCAGCAAACGTGTTACTGGCTGACTACACAAGCTGTGCTCAGCCCTCACTATGTAACAATTATCCTCACAACCATTTAAACTGCTGCTGATGTCGGATCAGTTTAACGTGATCCGTAGAATATTCTGTAAATCTCATCAGGATTTAAATTTAATTAGCAATCCTGATAAAACATAAAAGATATCCTGCCTCCTTCCACCACTGAACATAAATCAGTGTACAGAAATAGTGACGCTCGCGGTGACGTCTCAGTTCCCACAGAATCACGTTGTGCTAAGTAACAAAATAACACCCTGCAACTATAAATAAAGCTGTGCTTTTTTAAAAGCAGCTCATTTGAAAGCTACTTAAAAAGTAAAAAAAACTCATTAAAATAGCTGAAAACAAAAGAACGAGAAGCATTAAGGTTCGAAACACCAGCTGATTTGTAGATTGTGTAATCTCAGGTCATATGAGAGTGTCTTTGTGTCTCCATGGCAACTAATTCATGTGCATGGTCTAATTTTCCACACTGTGTGACCGAGACATTAACCTCGGCATGCTGGGATGTTTTGGTGTTTATCTCGGCATTAATTTTATTTTATTTTGGCAATAAGGAATTGATCTAATGGAATATGCCTTTTCAAAGCTGCAGTAGTAAATTTGGCAAACAAATTAGCTTAAAACACTTTTTCATGCCCCTTAACAACGTTTTAACACATCATAGCTATAAATATATAGTGGAACTTTAAAAAAGTGAAATAAATTAATAAAATGGTTCACTTATATTTGTCTAAAATTTTTTGCTAATAACGCGTTTTGGACCAAAAGCAACTATTGGACCATCAAGTTGTCGGGTCTCGCCGAACTGCCGCACTTCCCTGGGTCCTCCACTCATCACACACCTACATATGTAGCAACAGAACACCACTGGTGCGACAGGTTCTCCGCTCAATAATATCAGAGAAGGAGAAACAGCCGGCTGCTGCCACTTCAACTGTAGGGCAAACTACCAGAGTCCCAAAAAGAAAAACACCGTTTGAAGTCACGGACAACAAAAGACGTTGGGACCTAAACAGACTGGTGTTTAAATGGTAAATGGCCTGTATTCGATATAGCACCTTCTAGAGTCCTGGAACCCCCCCAAGGTGCTTCACAACACAGTCAGTCATTCACCCATTCACACACACATTCCCATCACTGGTGGTGATGAGCTACATTGTAGCCACAGCTGCCCTGGGGCGCACTGACAGAAGCGAGTCTGCCGTAAGTGGGGAGGAAGTTTAGCGCTCTCTCGTTTACTGTGGTAAAGTGGGTTTCCAGTTCCAGCAGAAAGGTCTCAAGGACGATACACGAGGGGAGGGGTGAATGTTCTGTGACCATGTTTGCGTTGAAAACCTAGCTTACACATAGTTTGCAGATTGGCTTTAACAGCTTTAATGTCTCAATAACAATGTGAGCGCTAAATCCTTAGAACATCATCAACACCAGGGGCGGCGTTAGGCCCGGCTACTTGGGCTGAAGCCCCGGATGTTTCATGAAAAGCCCCGGATCTAAATCGCGGAAGTAACATGCAGTACCAAAGTCCAACAGAGAGGGAGCAGCTGGCAGTAGTTTGTATACAGCCTGCCTGAGCCTCCACCACTGAAGAAGAAGCCCTTCAGCAGCCGGCTTCTTCTACACTCTCTGCCTGAAACGCATGAGTGAAGATGGACATAAGGACGTGTTTTAGACCAAAAGTACGGCGACAGATCCCCAGCTTTGATGAGACTGGTGCTGACTCAGGTTTGTGAGTCTTATTTGAAAATATTTGTTGTGCTGCTGGTTTGCCTAAAGTTAGCTTACTATCAGGTAAAGTTGTTGGAGAAAGAACGGGAATATTTACTATCATCTCACACTAAACACTAACAGGAACAATACTCTGCCCTGAATATGCTTAATATGTAGCTTCAGATTAAAAATTATGTGGTACAAGACACATGTGTATGATGTTGACTAGTGCGTGTCACGTGTGTGTGTGTGCGTGTGTGTGCTAAGCCCCGGATCTTCTTCAGTCCTAAATCCGCCCCTGATCAACACATGAATTGAATTCATTCACATTGCTTCCGGCTCTTGGAGAGTACAGACGCCTTTTTCTCCTCTCCCTCCCTCTTATCCCAAGGCTCTTTGTCCTGTCTTGTGTGCACGGTGCTTCTGCATTTTTTCTGGATTTTTCTGGAAACAGGAAATTATTAAAAATGAATCTGGTCAGCTGGTATCTCAACGCGATAGACAAAATTTTTTCAACAATGAGAACAGGAGAAGGGGCTCCCAGATGCCCCTCTGGGACAGAGCCAGCTGGGCATATCATGGACTCCTGGAAACAGTGGAACCCGATCTGCTTCTCCCAACTGTCTGTAGAGGATTCTGAAGATGTCTGAATACTCGTGGTTTTGGTGTCAGGATTCCTGCTGTTTGGCCTGAGCGGTTACCTGGCTTACCGGAATATTAACGAGCTTTCGAGGAATATTGGCTCAATCCCGGACCTCAGGGATGGAATGCATCGTGCTGTGAACACACAAACTCATATAATTGTCGAGATGAGTCGTAAGCTTGGAACTTTGGCTGAGATTCAGGCTCTGGCACAGAAAGTGGATTCCATCAAGGAGCGAGTTGATGGATCAGCACGGATCGGGATAGATTAATTACGCCATTATTGGATCTAGAGGGGTTGATGACCAACAGAATTCTAAGGCAGAGAGGAAATTATCTCTGTCTGTCCCCAAAACAATCCTTATCTGAATCTGGTACACTTGGAACCTGTGAGGCTGAAGTAAAAACTCCCCCCTGAGAAGAAATGTGGAATGCTGCCGTCGCTAGGCAACTCTTTCTCCCTCTCCCAGCCTGGGCGGGACTGTGACCGGTGAAGGCCGTGGAACCGTATCTAGGAGTCACTGTGCTCTCCAACCCATTAATCTCCCTCCCCTGTCCAAATGGAGGTGATAAGCGCTGCTCCATGCGGCTGCACACACCGAAGTGAGAATCCCAACCCTACCTCCCCACCTAGTGGGCACCTATGTTGTATAATGTCTGAAGTGTGTGCATATCTGTCTGAGGTGTTTTTTTGCACAGCAAAGCTGCCCTCTCGGGTGAGAGTAACACTGAAGTGCCTTTTTCCCCCTCCCCCCGATTCTATTCTCATATAAACCCTCTTGGGATTAGTAAAGTATCTTTGAATTTAATTGAATTTAATTGATCTATTACGGTAGTGCGACTCGGGTTGAGAATGACCACAGTCACCAATTCTCGTCATGTATGTATGCATGTATGTATGTATGTATGTATGTATGAATGATCTCAGAATTGTTTATGTTTATGTTTATGTATTTAGCAGACGTTGTGTGTACTGAAACTCTAATTTCCCTCTGGGATTAATAAAGTATTATTTGATTTAATTTAATAAAGCTTTTCAAGGATAGCAGAAGTTTTTTTTTTGTTGTTTTCTTTTTTTTATATTTAAAGTTTTTATTATTTTCAGATTTTTTATAACATACAACAACATACAAAAACAAAAGAAAACACACAGGCGTGTTCACCCTTGTTGTTAATGCCTCCCACTTTTCAAAATTTGTTTTAACTTTTGACAACACTGGGTTGAAATTTAGTGAAGGCAGTTCACCTAGCTCTTGGCATAATTGCATCCCCAAATGTTTCATGCCTTTAGGTGTCCATTTAAATTCAAATTTCTCCACCATATGTGAATAGCACAGACCCGACAATGGCACAGCCTCAGACTTGGACCAATTAACTGTATATCCAGAAACTTTTGAGTAGGATTCTAGAGTGTCCATTAAATGTGGTAAAGATGTAAGTGGATTAGTTATCGTTGTTAGAATATCGTCTGCATAAAGAAGTAATTTGTGTTCAACTTGGCCCGTTCTTATACCTTTAATATCACTATTTGACCTAATACTCACAGCTACCGTTTCTATAAATATAATGAATAATAGAGGACTGAGAGAACACCCCTGTCGGGTCCCAAGTGACAAACCGAAAAAAGGTGAAATAATTCCGTTGGTTATAACTGCCGCCCTCGGCTCTTTATACAATATTTTAACCCAATTTATAAATTGTGACCCAAATCCAAAGTTTGATAAAGCAGAAAAAAGAAAACCCCATTCAACTTTATCAAAAGCCTTCTCTGCATCCAAGGAGAAGGCAGCTACAGGCTCATCTTTTGACTGACTCAACCACATTAAATGCAGCAGTTTCCTGACATTATCATATTTTTCATAGTTCCTATTCGAGTGCTCGCAATGGGGTAGTTATACTTATTAAAAGAAGTATTCGATTTTCATTGATTAAAGAAGTTAAAGATACAGAAGGAAGAATGGTATGTGTCCAAGCTCTGGTAGAGGGAGTAAAGCTAATATTGTGTAACATTTTTGTTGTTTTCTTGATCATTTGTCTCTCTACCTGTTTAAATCCAGAAGTAGTCATCGATTCAATAAAGTTAACCACACAGCAGGAGGAGTATCTAACCCTCCCTGTTCTGAAGCTATAAAATGGTTAAAGACCTTTATTTGATATAGTGCTTTCTACGGTTCTACAACCCTCCAAGGCACTTTATAAATAAGTGATGACCCACACTTGTGTAGCGCCTTTCCGAGTCAGAGGACTCCAAAGCGCTTCACACTACAGTGCATCTTTCATCCATTCACTCACACATTCACACACTGATGGTGATGAGCTACAGTGTAGCCACAGCTGCCCTGGGGTACACTGACAGAAGCGAGACTGCCAAGTACAGGCGCCACCAGTCCCTGTGACCACCATGCAGCCACCCAGAGCTTCCGGAACTGCGCTGCTCTGGGTGGCTGCATGTTGGAGTAGCTCTGTTGACTGTATGTAAGTTTTGCCTTTTCTTGGACATTTTTTCTTCTAGTTTCTCAAGAAAAACGGTATTCTTTTGGACATTTTACTTTTCTGTTTCTGGTGCTGTGAAGCTTGGAGGATTTTTACTGCTATTTTTTCACTTTTTTCACTTTTTGAGCATTTGTTATGATGCGTAACCATGGCAACAATCTGGTTTACAATCGTGAGCAGCTGATTAACATTGGGAAGGCTGAAATAATACCTCAACTGAAGCCACAAATCCCAAATGAGCTAAAACGCAAGAAGCGAGGGTGCAGAGCGGGAGCAAAACGGAGACAGAGAAAGAGGAAATTCAAACCATCTCTTCCATCGATCATAATGGGCAATGTGAGATCACTGGCCAACAAGATGGATGAACTCCAAGCCCTTTCAAGGACTCAGCCAGAGTATCGGCAGTGCAGTGTTATGTGTTTCACTGAGACGTGGCTGCAGGACCATATCCCCGATTCCAGCGTCTCTCTGCCAGGATTCCTGACTGTACGAGCAGACAGAGATCTGAAGAGGAGCGGTAAAAGAAAAGGAGGTGGAGTGGCAGTGCTTGTCAACAACAGATGGTGCCATCCATGTCATGTTTCAGTGAAATGTCGTCTCTGCGGCCCAGATGTTGAACTCTTGGCAGTAAGTTGTCGCCCATATTATTTGCCAAGAGAGTTCACCAGTGTTGTCTTGGCAACCGTTTATAATCCACCTTCAGCCATTGCTGAAAATGCATGTGATGCCATCAGTTCCGTTGTCGCTAAGCTACAAACCCAGCACCCCAATGCATTTGTGGCTATATCTGGTGATTTTAATCATGCCTCACTCTCTGCTACACTTCCAACATTTCGTCAGCTGCTCCACCAGAGAAAACAAGACATTGGATTTGTGTTATGCAAATGTAAAGAACGCATACATGTCCAAAACAAGACCTCCTCTGGGAGAATAGGATCACAATCTTGTTTTTCACTGCTCAGAATACAAACCACTTGTTCAGGGGCAACCTGTGACAAGAAGAACTGTGAGAAAATGGTCACAGGACGCTGAAGAAGTCCTGCAGGGTTGTTTTGAGACCACAGATTGGATGACTCTCTGCCAAGGATATGAAGAGAACATCGATGCCATGACTTGATGTGTCACTGACTATATAAACTTCTGTGTGGACAATATCATACCCACCAGAACAGTGAGATGCTTCGTTAATAACAAACCCTGGATCACCAGTGAACTGAAGAATCTGCTAAATGAGAAAAAAAGAGCCTTCAAGGAAGGAGACAGGGTATTACTGAGGAGTATACAGAAGCAACTGAAGATCAAGATCAGAGAGAGCAAGGAGGCATACAGGAAGAAGCTGGAGAACAAACTACAGAGGAACAATATCAGAGATGTCTGGTCAGGGATGAAGAAGATCACAGGCTTCAAGCAGAGGAAGGATTGCACAGATGGCAGCCTGGACACAGCCAATGAACTGAACAAGTTCTTCAATAGGTTCAGTTCAGGAACAAACCCAGCATCCTCCTCGCCTGTCCCCAGCCAATCAGACATCCCATCCTCCTCAGATCCAACATTTTCCTGTCACATGCCAGCTCATTTGTCCTCTAACGCAGTCATGGCCTCTTCTGGTTCTATGAATCTGTCTTCAACCAAGTCAGGAGATGCTGCTGGCTGCCCCAGTTACCTCCCCCTCCCACTGATCTGTCTCTAGAAGTCAGGTGAAGAGGCAGCTGGAGAGACTGAACAGGAACAAGGCTGTAGGTCCAGATGGTGTCAGCCCCAGAGTACTGAAGGCCTATGCAGAACAGCTCTGTGGGATTCTGCAGCACCTCTTCAACCTCAGCCTGGCCCAGGAGAAGGTTCCAGTCCTGTGGAAGACATCCTGCCTTGTTCCAGTTCCAAAGAAAACTCGCCCATCAGTCAATGACGACTACAGACCGGTTGCCCTGACATCCCACATCATGAAGGTCCTGGAGAGACTCCTGTTGGTCCACCTGAATAAGCAAACTAGGACATATCAGGACCCGCTGCAGTTTGCTTATCGCCATGGAGTTGGAGTTGAAGATGCCATCATCCAGCTGCTTCAACCAACCCACTGTCATCTGGACAAAGCAGGCAGTACTGTCAGGGTCATGTTCTTTGATGTCTCCAGTGCATTTAACACAATCCAGCCTGATGTACTTTGCCAGAAACTCCAGAAGACACAGGTGGGGGCCTCAACTATCGCCTGGATTAAAGACTACCTGACAAACAGACCACAGTTTGTGAGGCTGAAGAACTGCACATCAAACCAGGCGATCAGTAACATTGGAGCACCACAGGGGACTGTACTCTCACCATTCCTTTTCACCCTGTACACCTCAGACTTCCAGTACAAATCAGAGACCTGTCATCTACAGAAATACTCAGATGACTCTGCAGTTGTCGGGTGTTTCAGAGATGGACAGGAAGCTGAGTACAGAGAGCTGGTGGAGCGCTTTGTGGCATGGTGTGGAAACAATCATCTGACCTTGAACGTGAACGAAACAAAGGAGATGATTTTAGACTTCAGAAGAAACAGGGTGGAGTCAAACACTGTTTCCATCATGGGAGAAGAAGTGGAGGTGGTTGAGGAATACAAACACCTTGGAGTTCACCTGGACAACAGACTGGACTGGAGAAAGAACAGCGAAGCCGTTTACAAGAAGGGACACAGCAGACTGCACTTCTTGAGGATGCTTAGGTCCTTCAATGTCTGTAGCAAGATGCTGCAGGTCTTCTACAAGTCTGTTGTTGAGAGTGTAATCTCTTCAGCCATCGTCTGTTGGGGTAGCAGCATCAGAAGCAGGGACCTGAAAAGGCTCAACAGCCTAATAACAAAGGCTGGTTCTGTTCTGGGGACGACTGTGGAACCGCTGGAGGAGATGATGCAAAGAAGGATTCTCCAGAGAATCAAGAAAATGATGGACAAACCTGAGCCTTCTCTTCACAAGACTGTCCGACAACGGAAGAGTGTCTTCAGTCAGAGGCTTCTTCAGTTTGGCTGCAACACTGACCGCTAATGGAGATCCTTCCTGCCAACAGCCATTGTAATATACAACAACTCTTTGATGACTTGATTATTTTTATTATTCTGAGCTACTACAGCAATCAGTTTCCCTCTGGGATTAATAAAGTATTTTTGAATTGAATTGAATTGAATTGAATCAGCAGGCACCGTGGGTTAGATGTCTTGCCCAAGGACACAAAGACTGCAACCCTCTGGTCACAGGGCTGGCATTTAACTCCTCTGGCATCGTTGCTCCTAAAATCGTTTTTTTCACTTTGCAAACATGTTCAAAGAAGACTTTGGTGTTTAATAAGCAGAGATAACAAAATGGAGGCAGTACACGTTGGCTGTGCGTGACTGATGAAAACAAATGGCATTGCTTTCTGTTATGAGCCCCATGCACATCACATGGCACAATTTTCATTTGCAAAAACGGATAACGACGATTTTATAAAAATAATCTTTTTAATGATATTAGTAAAAAAAAGGTTTGGTTCATTTGAGCTCATTACGTGTTCGGATCTCCAGGCTTCCTTAGCGGCTTTTCCCTGCTTTTAAAGCAGCACTGTCCCTCCATGCTTAGCTCGTGACTGATCAGTAAAATAGAGCATTGCATTTCTCTTTGAGATTAAAACTAAATGTCTCTATGTATTTATTTGACATACTTTATGTAGCTTAAACCAGAATGTGTTGTTTCTACGCTAGTCTGTATCGACGGTGGCAAGGTAAAAGTTATTTTGGTTTTGTGATAATCTGATGAATTAAGTACCGCAGATTTGCTGCCTATCTTGACAGACCCTTTTTGATGCTTTTTCCAGTAAATAAAAAAAATTAACTGAAAATGTTTTGAACCTCCTATTAAAACATGGCGATGAAGGGGATTTCCACAATTAAATTATGTTTACACCTGTTCCTTCACCGTCGTTCTCAAAGAAGACAGCATGGAGGGGAAATTTTCCAAACACACTGGGCTGAGGCCTCAGTCACTTCTAGGGTTCCAAGTTGCTCAGCAGCATTACTCTACAAGCCTTGTGCAGCTTTTTGAATAAAATCCATATCAGCTGTTGAGCTGAAATGTTGAATTCTTTAGATGTTGCACAATTAAGCATGGAGGTCAGCCTTTCTGGCTACAAATAACACAAATACTACTTATCCTAAATGTGTATTTATGTGTGAAATGTAAATTTGCCTGATTCCCAGATCAGCAGAGAGCAGCGGGCGAGTCATTCAGGGCTCAGCTAAAATTAGCAGTGATGTCTTGCTGTGTAACAGGAGAGACGCTGGCCTGCTAACATCACAAAAATCTAAAGCCAGGCACATTCCATTGTAAAAATAACTGGAGAGACTGGTGGGCAAGCAAGAGGGGGCAGGACATTTTCAGAGATGGGGAGAGAAAGATGGAGCTGGAGAGTGAGAAGCGCTTTGGGATGAATCATTGAGTGATAGGACAGCTGTAGCCCGTGTGCATGCCAAAGCAGCCGAGAACTGGATTAGATTCACCATAAAACACCAGGAATGGTTTTAAAAGCAACATTTACACAAAACTAGTGTTTACTGTAAGCGGCACCGACGTGCCGAGTGACATGGGTGTTGAGGAATCCAACTTTAAACCCACTTCTCCATTCACGCTTGTTTCTAAATATGGAAGGTCTCCTGATGTCAAAGATCCAATCCATTAGGGAGGTTCTGCCAGAACTCTAAAAGCACAAAAGCAATTTCTTGCAGCATATGTGGTAAATGATGGCCAAAATCTACACTGACTCGCCCATTATTGCTAACGAAAAGAAAAAAACATCAAAATAATGACTATTTCTAATTTACTAGAAATAATTTATAAACACAAAAGTCAGTTTAGAAATGTAATGCAGCACAGTTCACCAAAATAGTCATTTCTGACTCCCATGAAGCCATAAATGTAGTGTATGTTGAAGACGTTGAACCTCAGAGAGATGAAAGCACTTTCCAAAACTGACTTCCAATTCTTTACCGACTGGACACGCATGCACTGATGAACCTGGACAACTTTGTGCAGGCAAATGCAGCACGTCAAAATAACCGGCAAAAGTCCAAATGTAAGGGGTGTTTCCACACACACTAAACCCTGCAGAACAAAGAGGAGCTGGGCTGCAGTACAAAAAGAATATCAGCTGTTAACAGCAGCACATTTCATTTTAGGGCTACATGTATATAACTTCTGCAGCTTTGTAAAGAATAAAAGTTGTAATGTTAGTCAGAATTCATGCTGTGTTGAAGATATTTGGTGACTTGTGCATGTATTTAGTTTAAACCTGCATGAAGTTTAACCATTCCAACAAGCGCTTTTAGATTTCAAAATGAAAAATGTCAAGGCTTTCGCTTATTTGTGACTGAAAAAGAAATAATGAAAGATTCTACTTCATATTTAACATGTGTACTTATTTCATGCTAATGTAGCAACCCAACCATAGCAGGGGTACGCAGTCCTGGTCCTGGAGGGCCGGTTTCCAGCGTGTTTTAGTTTTAACCCTGTTTCAACACACCTGATTCCAATCAGCAGGTGATTAACAGGCTTCTGCAGAGCCTGATGAGCTGCTGCACAGGTGACTCAACTAGTGAATCAAGTGTGTTGGAGCAGAGAAACCACTCAAACATGCTGGATACCGGCCTTCCAGGCCCAGGATTTGACACCCCAGCAGTAAAGTCTTGGACATAGACAGCCAAATACGACAGTGTTCAGCCTGTTAAATTGGATTAAAATGGGATTATTAGAGATTTTTTAGGACACCAGGCTTTTGATGACTTTTATGGTCAAAAGAGCAAATCTGATCAGTCTTGAAAATGTCCCTACTGGTGGACATTACCTTCACCCAGATCCAAGACGGCCAGCACAGCACTCGTCCGAGCTTCTCCCAGGTGATTATTGGCGATGCAGGTGTAGAGACCAGCATCACTGGGTTTACAGTCCCTTATCCAAAGCCCTCCGTACTCTTGGTTGTCCATGTTGAGGAGTTCATCGTTGTGGTACCAGTACAAGGAAGGCTGGGGGTCTCCAGCCACAGTCACCTTAAGGCGAATGTCACAGCCTGTGCCCACGGCAGCGTTCCTCATTTTGCGGGTAAAAACAGGTGGAGATGGACCGGGATGACCGGGCCCCCGAGATTCTGGAACTACGTGCTCCGTGTTTGATTTTGAGCGTTTTGGGGGGATGATTGGACTCGGGGGTGCTGCTCCTTCATCCGGACCCTTTTTTAGGGTCATTGGAACGTCAGCTTTTCTCATGGTTGACCTGACTGGTTGGGTCCAACTCAGACTGAAACTACAACACTGACAGTCGTTGATAGAAACAATGATCAGATACAAGTTACAGATAACATCGTTTACACAAGAGAAACAGATAATCCACCGTCTTACTGGAGAAACGACTGAAGCATCTCCATTGACCGAATGTTCTCAAACCACGGTTGTCTGACCTCAGGTGGTTGAAGAAGAAAAGGAAATTGTTGACCACCAGGTAATCAAGCAGATCCAGATAGCGACCACTCTCCTGAGTAGAGGTATTTTTAGGTTAAGACCAACCAGGTCAGGTTACTTTAACAGCAGCTCCCTTGACTTGTCTCTGAGAAGCGACGGCTTTGCTTCGCCAGCCCTTCATGTCCTGCTACTCCTTTGTAAACGTTTTCTCCAGACTTCTCAGTGAGTCCAAGTGGGCACTGAGGTTCATCTTTTACCCTAACTGAGATCTGTTCTTGCTTGATTTCCAGTTGAATCCAGGCGTCTACCCGGTAAGTTGTACACTGACCTCCCCACACCCTGTTCCCTGTCCCATAAGTTAGATCGCCCCACTAGTGATTTCCCCCTACTTCTGCCCGTCAGTCTGGAGGGGGAAATGACAGTCACGGCCCAGAAAGCCCTACAATGACAGCTGCGTGTCCTATCAGCCCACTCACCTCGAGGCCCCCGCCCCCTTGTCATTTTTAGCCAACCTGAGGTCAGTAGAACATGGTGCAACACATGGCACAAAGGAAAAGAAGAGCTTGTATAAGACATGTCCCCTTTTCACCTCTCATTTGTTTCAAAATGATCAAAACCTATCAGCTGACTCTTAGAGATGAGCTGCTAGTAGAATTTAAAAAGGTCGGATATTATCGGTGTATCTTGGCAATAAAAATGTAATATTTAAAATGACTGGTTTCAGTTTTTACTCTTTTAATGACAACTTTTAAATGCCATGTAAATAATAGGTAACACTTTACAATAAGGGTGTCTTATTAACATTACTTAGAGCATTATTAAGCATTAATAAACAAAGGATCCCTCTAATAACTTCTCAGATATTCAATTCAAGTTTATTTATATAGCACCAAATCACGGCAAGAGGCACTTCACAAAGTAAACATTCCAATACAGGTGTCAGTTACTACAGAAATCCTCATACTAAGCAAGCATGCAGCGACAGTGGAGAGGAAAACTCCCTTTTAACAGGAAGAAACCTCCAGAGAATCCTGGCTCAGTATAAGCAGCCATCCTCCACGACTCACTGGGGATGGAGAAGACAGAGCAGACACACACACACACACACACACACACGCGCGCACGCACGCACACACACACACACACACACACACACACACACACACACACACACGTATTCGGTTTGGCGAGAGATAAACTTTATTGTATTTATCCTAGTGGATCTGTAGTTAAAGGGTAAACTAGTAGTAGCACATTCAGTGTCAAAGAGAGTAAGATGTTATTATCAGGAGAGGGAGTCCCTTAACATGAACTATTAAGTGTCCTTAAGGTTAGGGCAAAGAGCCAGGAGGAGGGGTGTCTGGTTAGTAATCGTCTCGTCTCGTCTCGTCTTCCTTCGCTTATCCGGGTCCGGGTCGCGGGGGCAGCATCCCAACTAGGGAGCTCCAGGCCGTCCTCTCCCCGGCCTTGTCCACCAGCTCCTCCGGCAGGACCCCAAGGCGTTCCCGGACCAGATTGGAGATGTAACCTCTCCAACGTGTCCTGGGTCGACCCGGGGGCCTTCTGCCGGCAGGACATGCCCGAAACACCTCCCCGGGGAGGCGTCCAGGAGGCATCCTGACCAGATGCCCAAACCACCTCAACTGGCTCCTTTCGATCCGGAGGAGCAGCGGTTCTACTCCGAGTCCCTCCCGAATGTCCGAGCTCCTCACCCTATCTCTAAGGCTGAGCCCGGCCACCCTACGGAGGAAACTCATTTCGGCCGCTTGTATCCGCGATCTCGTTCTTTCGGTCATTACCCAAAGCTCATGACCATAGGTGAGGATTGGGACGTAGATCGACCGGTAAATCGAGAGCCTGGCTTTCTGGCTCAGCTCCCTCTTCACCACGACAGATCGGCTCAGAGTCCGCATCACTGCAGACGCCGAACCAATCCGCCTGTCGATCTCCCGATCCCTCCTACCCTCACTCGTGAACAAGACCCCGAGATACTTAAACTCCTCCACTTGAGGTAGGACCTCTCCCCCGACCCGGAGGTGGCAAGCCTCCTTGAACCGTCACCTTATCGTGGTGGAGGAGTTTGAGTGCCCTAATGATCCTAGGAGCTATGTTGTCTGGGGCACTTAGTGCCCCTGGTAGGGTCTCCCATGACAAATTGGTCTTAGGTGAAGGGTGAGACAAAGAACGGTTCGAAGGATCTTTCATGGCGGTTAAAACGAAGAGTCGGAGTACCCGGCCCGGAGGGTTACCGGGGTCCCACCCTGGAGCCAGGCCTGGGGTTGGGGCCCGTGAGCGAGCGCCTGGTGGCCGGGCTTTCGCCCATGGGGCCCGGCCGGGCCCAGCCCGAACCGGATACATGGGCTCGTCCAACTGTGGACCCACCACCCGCAGGAGGAACATGAAGGGTCCGGTGCAATGCGAATCGGGTGGCAGACCAAGGCGGGAGCCTTGGCGGTCCAATCCCCGGACAAGAAAACTGGTTAGTAATACATTACTTAATATTAACATTAATATAAGCAGTTGTCAATACCTTATTTAATGGTTAAGTATTGCTTAATAATGCACAAAGTAGCCTTAATAAACGGACTGTTATTGTAAAGTGTTACAGAAGGTTTTATTGAGTGAGGTTGTAGTTTATAGTGAGCTTTTATTTCAATTCACTCTCTTGTTAAAAACACAAGAAGGCAGGATTGGTTAACGGACTCATGGAGTCGCTGCAGAGTTTTCACACCGGTTGTTGCGTTGCTCCGACACTCGGTGTCTCTCCCTTTCATACCAAGCCATTAGCTGTTTAGCTACACATGTTCTGCTTCTTGTGTGTTAAAAATAAAGTGGTTAAAATGAAAACTAAACCATAAAAATCTTCTGAAAAAGATATCCAAAATAATATATATATTATTATAAATGTCACAAAACTGGTATATGTTATTAAAATGAAAATAACTTGCTTATATTAATAGGAAATGAAAGGAAAAAATTACTGTCAACTATTAAATTCCAGATGTTTTCTTCCACAGGAAAAGCGTTGAGTTAGACTGTGCTGAGAACAAGAACAGCATCGGTGATAAAAGATCCTTCTACCTACGAGATCAACTATTTTAAAACTTTCTTTAAGTTCTGCAGTAATTTAATGACAACTTCTGTTTTTCTGTTTCCCCAAATGAGACGAGAGGACAATATTTGAAAGCAGCATCACCCGCCCATCAGCTGGAGTATCAAGTGACTCACAGCTGGTTTAATGACCACACTAAAAAACATTTATAGTTTAATGATGATGTCAGCTGCACAGAGGAGATGAAAATGTTTAATCGGCAACAAGTCTGAACGTTTTCAAAACTAATGATCATAAAAAATAGAAATAAACCAGTTTTACTTTATTATGCGCTGCATGTAAGCGAGGTTTTAACATTTTGATCAGATTCTGAAAATTGACATTTAGTCACACGCGCGCACGTGTGTGTGTGTGTGCGTGTGTGTGTGTGTGTGTGTGTGTGTGTGTGTGTGTGTGTGTGTGTGTGTGTGTGTGTGTGTGTGTGTGTCAGATATTTCACCTGTAAGTTGTTTTGGACAGCAGTGTCTGCTAAATACAGAAACAGAAACATTTAACCATGCGGTGTGTTGGAAGTAAAACTTTCCTCATAGCTCAGACAGTTCGTCTAGACTCTAGGCTGTTTTCTCTTTTCACGCTTATCCTAAAAGCTTTTTTTCCATTTTCTACAAAACTACAAAAAATGACAAACAACGTGTGCGCGCACACACACACACATACACACACACGTCTGTCTTTCTATCATAGTGAGGACCCTCCATTGACTTCCATTCATTTTTGTGACTGTATTATGCCTAACCCACACCCTGACCCTAACTTCTTTCACACCATACCTTTTAAAACCGGTGGGTACACTTTTAAAAGATGTGAGGACGACAAAAATGTCCTCACTCTGTTTGTTAAACCTCATGATGGTCCTCAGTATGTAGTAAATACCAGAACACACACACACACACACACACAGATTATCTTCAGTCTTTTCCCTGTTTTATAATGAAACCAAAGTCAAGACAAACAAAGGAAAACTAGAAAAAAAAACAGGATAAAATATTTACAAGGTTTCAGACATTTTCAGACGGTTCTGATGATGCCTGCTGATTTGATTTATTTCTGGTGTCCAGCGTTTGAAATCAGACACGAACTAGAATGGTGTGATTGCACGTATAAAAGTCATTTCACATGATCGTGGAGGTGATTTCTGACGACACTGACGACCGGCTGCTCCTTGAAACAGACGTTTTCTCCAGAACACCCATCTTTCGTAATTTCTGCGCTAACTTCCTCCTGAACTTCTGTCCAACGAGTGCATAGAGTACGGGGTTCACACAGCTGTGAAGCAGCCCCAGACTCTGAGTGACAAACATGGTCTGATCCACCGCCATCCTCTCCTGGCATCGGTACGGGACGATCTTTGCCCTGAAGAAGGTGTCTGTCAACACGGCGATGTGGTACGGCGTCCAGCAAAGCAGGAAGGCAACAACCACGCAGACGATCACTCTCATCGCTCGTCGGCGCTGGAAGCCTCCACGGATGTGCAGCAGGCGCTGCATGGTGATGCCGTAACACGGAAGCATGATGGCCAACGGGACGAGGAACCCCAGAGTGTGACTGAGAACTCTGGTGGCCAGCCTCCACTCCTCAGCGCTGCCCAAGTCGTACTGTTCAGCACACACCAAGTTACTGTTGTTTGTGGATTTGAACGCAGAGTTGAAGAACCCCGGCAGAGACAGAATGCCTCCAACAACCCAGACAACGACACAAACTCCGTAGCTGACCAGCTGTCGGTTGGCCTTCCGGGCCTCCATTGCCCACACGATCGCCATGTAGCGATCCATGCTGATGCAAGTCAGGAAGAGAATGCTGGAGTAGAAGCTCAGCTCCTGAAGGATGGAGACAGCTTTGCACATGGCATCTCCAAACACCCATCCCTTTGTTACGGAGGTGGCCCAAAAGGGAAGGGTGATGGCAAGCAGAAGATCCGCAATCGTCAGGTGGAAGAGGTAAAGGTCAGAAGGGGTCAGTGACTGGTAGCTCACGCCGATCACCAAACTGACCACTAGGTTCCCAGGAATAGCCAATAAGAAGACGAGGAGGTAAAAGAAGCAGACAGCCACCATCACGCCATCCGGAAAGGTGAAGACTTCACAGGGCTGCGTGGCCGGGTCCGGGTCAAACTCCGTGAAGTTATACAGGTTCGTGTAGTTGAGCTCATAATAAATGGAACTGAAGTTATCGATGAAGGAAGACATTTCTACAGGTGAGGACAAAAATCTAAATTAGAAATCACATCTCAGGTTTTCCTGTAAAGATTTCAAAGGAATGCTGGATTAGAAACAGCTAAAATGCTTGTTTCAAGTTAAATTCTTTAAGAATGTGTGAAAAGCTACTCACCAGCCACGGTGCTGCTGTCTGGTCTGCAGGAGGCACCTTAATGTCACAAGGAGATGAGAAGCAAGCATCGTATCCATCGACACCCCTCCCACCTGACTGGTTCCCCTGATTACCCCACACCCTCATGTTGTCATTTTCTCATCAATTCAAATGGGGGGGGGGGGGGGGGTCATTTTTAGCTCTATTGACTTATGATGATCCCTATTTTCCTCAATATTCAAATATTTACCTCAGAAATAAAAAAATCAAGCAGATCTATAAGAACAGTAGCAGCTAAAGTCGTGTTTACACATTATTTTGTTTAGTCATGGTTGGTTGTGCCTTCATGATGACTCATCGTGGGATCAGCTGATGCAGCAGGTGTAAAACTGAAAGAGAGTCTCTTTTTCCATCATAATAAAGAGTTTCATGTAAACACCTGATCGGAGGCAGAAAATACACAGAGAAGAACAGAAGTTCTGCAGTTATTTCACTTTTCGGTGTTTCATGGTTTATTCCAGTAATCTCAGATGTATTAAGTCAGATGGATTAGATCTGAACCCTCAACAGCTGTTGATTAGAACGAGGATTCACTTGTGATTGACCACTGCGGCGGAGAGGAAGTCCCCAGCTCATGACATGGCTTTGTTGACACACGAGAGTGTCACATTTCCTGCCACACGTCTCATGTTTCAACGTTAAGTGTCACAAGTGTTCAGCCTCAGTTGCACCGGATCGCGACGTGTTTTGGTCAAAAATGAAGCACACTAGTGTTTCTTTCCACGTGTTTCTTCAACATAAAGCTGTCTGAGCTTCCATGCACCAGTGACACCTTGTTATTGCTTGTTGCAGCAGCTTTTCATGCCTTTAAGGTTTTTGTTTTGTCCTGTTCTGTTGTTTGTGCACTTCTATAAGATGAGCAAAAATACAAATACGGACAAAAGTATTTTTATATTTGAGTCCAGTAAAGCAGCAGGTGTTGCTGGGAGTACGTTTATTTTTATTTAACCTTCACTTAGCCAGATGAGTCGACTGAGAACTCTCATTTATGATCTGGCCGAGAGGCAGCAGCTTCAGAACAAAGAACAACAGAAATAAAACTGGTGTTTGTTTGTTACAGACTCAGAAACGGGACAGAACTGTCCTTTATTGTCATTACACCAACTTAGAACTGCAACAGTCATTTTAAAGAAAGGCTAAAACACACAAAAAGTTCAAAACACGTGAAAAAAATGCTTCATTAAAATGTGTGGTGTGTCTGAAAATGAGGTTTATAATTTAAGTGTTTCACATTTCTTAATCCAGGTCATTTTTCCTGTTTTAGACCCAATAGCATCACTTTCCGATGTATCTTAAATGTTTATTGATGAAGGTTTATTGTAGATGGAAACTTTGCTAAAATCCATCTGAGAGTTCTTTTCATTTGTGCTTCAGTGACTAATTTTCATATAAAAACTCAGGATTTCACCTTAAGCCACAAATTCATCATGTTAAACGACACTAATTAGGATTTAGATGAAAATGTGTTGCAACATTTCAGTTAACCTGGAGCCCTACTCCAACACAGCCAAGTGTGTAATAGCGCTGCTATGGGGGTGCATGAAGACCAGGGGCCATGGCTGAAGTGCTTGGTGCAACAGAGGATATGAAGAAAACTGACGTTTCGGTTTAAGCAACGTGTTGCTTCAAAATGAACTTCATGCCTATGCTTGCAGGATATTATACAAAACATGTTTGTTTTTTCCTTTAACACAAAGGGTGGCTTTTTTATTTTCACTTTGTGGTTCTGTGGGAGAATAAACACCAACACAGCATTCCTCTTTTCCAGCACTTGATGGCCCTGAAGACTGGTGGGGTGCTCCTCCCTGCTTGTAGCTCTAAAAATGGCAGACATGTCAACAGTTCCAGGAGTTTGAAGCACTTTGTGATTCATAACCAAACATATTATACAAGGTTTCACCGTAACTCTGTTGGAACACGTTGATAAAAGATCAACCATGTCCAGCAAAAAAATTAAATAATCAGAGGTACTGAATCAATGTTGAAAACTACTCTTGCTAGCAGGACATACAAGCTAAACAACCTACACATCAGTTTACTGAGTTTAATCAATTGTGGAATCAGATAAGTACAGAACCCAAATATGGCAACAGCATGATGGTAAAATATATTCGGTGAACCAAGTGGTCCCATGTTTATAAAAAGTACAGCTGATGGAATACAAATCGTCTCATGGAAAAGAAAAATGGACATCCGTTTCTTCTCCACGTCACCAGATGGGCCCTTTGAAGACTCACACGGGCGGCGTTTCAGTCCCAGAATGCATTTCAGCTATTTAGGCAAAAAGGTGGAAACCAATTTTCTGATTTAGCTAATATCCAAGCCTCAACTTAAATTAAAGGAAAGTGCATCAAGTGTTCAAGTAGGCTGTGTACTATCAGAGAATCAGGGCTAGAGGGAGATAACACTGGCACTCAGCTGGAAATATGCAAAAGAGTGGGAGGGTAGGGGGGGAGGCAGCTCAAGCCCTCATGGTGGACGTGGCTGATCGTAACCGGTGAGCTGAGATGTGGGAGATGGCAGCGCTACTGGCACCAGAACTCCATTTTAAAAAAGACAGTTTCACCTATTTTAGGCTGTATGAAATTCTGCGGAGAGTCCAGGCAGTGATGAAGAAGCCAGACGATTGAATATTAGCAGGAGAAAATAGAAGCCAACATAAAAATAAAACCGCGTGTGTAACAAGATCCCCCTGCCCCACCCCCAAAACACCAGTTTCATCTTTTGGCACGTCGTGGATCCCTGCCGTTGCTAATGGTAACAGAGGACTTTGTGGCTGCTGGGGGTCCTGCAGCATTGACTGGTGCTGCGCCGTTGCCAGGTGACCGGCCATTGGGTCGGCCAACATTCCCAAACGTTGGGTCACGGGCTGCACCAGGAGGTGGGTTGTTGGCAAACGGTGGCATGGTACCATTACCTGTGGAGGGGGTGAAGATCCAAAAAAAATTCATGAAAGAAATGCAAGAAAATAAGATTTTTCAAGTTAGGAAAAAAAAAAATTTTAACCTCAAAGTCTTTACTTCTATTATGATTATTTAAACAAAAGTATGCAAAACGAGACATTTATCATAACAAGCACACAAAGCACGTCATCTTGACCTATTTACCAACCAACTGCACGTTTACATTTGTTGCAGCTAAACCAACATCTTGTGTACCATCAATGACCGGCGTACGCTAGAACAAACCGACCACAGTTCACTCCTGACAGCGATGGGAAGAAGATGTGCTCACCTGGTGGAGCAGGAGTACCTGAGTTCTGATTTGGCGGAGAGTTTCCTCTCTGGTTCTGGTCAGGCTTCCCCTGTTTGAAGAAAATAACTTTAGAAGTAGAAACCGATGAGCTCTTTAACGCAACTCTGTTCATTAAACTGAAACTAAAATTAAACTAGTCTCAAGTGGAGACAAGTGTGTGGTATTATTTTAGTTAAAAGGGAAAAACATGACCAGGAAAAGCTAAGCAATGCAACCCTGACATGCGTACGCCTGAATGGACACACAGCTACTTACGGACTTGTTTAACTGGTTTGGTTGGGCTAGCAGCTCTGGGTTTGGTTCGCTGAAGTTGGGCACTTCTGAATACACCATGCAAAACCTAGAAAATAAAAGACATTTTTACCTTCGCCATCTCATTCCCCTAGAGCAGCAGCTGAGAATCTAGACTGTCAGAGTCCGAAGCAACGCTCCAGTCGAACCTCGCAGGTCCGGCCAGTATTGTGGCTGGCCAATCACAGCGCGCTTGTTTAGAAAAAACAATGTTTTATGATTTATTTAGTTCTTCCATTATGTAATGGCGGACTGCCCCGTTGACTGACATCTGTAGTGGTCCAATGACTGCACTCCTATTAGCCAGGTGGGTGGGATGTTAATGCGTCTGAGTCCGTGTTCGAGATGAGCCAGTTCTGCGCAGATTAGATCACCGGTGATCTGCGCGCAGTGCTCGTCGGTTAGCTTTGTGTCCGTTAACGCAGACTTCCTCTGACGTAGGCAACGAAAACCTTGAGAGATCAAGGTGGACGCAGATTTTGGAGCAAGGCGCTGCAGTTGCTCTCCACCGGCTGCAAAACCTAGGGCATGACGGGAAACGCCTGGCTCTCACCTGATCTAAGATCTGATTGGTTCACATTCAACTCTTAACATCTGGTGGTAGAAAGCAAAATGTTAGTTGGTCACATGTGTTCTGTAAATCATGTTACGCTGATGATGACAACTATACACTTAAAACTCTACAGATGATAACCTTTACTTATTATTACAGTCATGTCTTCAAACACGCATGTCTACAGTATATGATATTGTGAGGATGTGTTTCGGTTGCTAACGGGCATCAGAATTAAAATTTAAAAAGTATGAACGCTAACGCGATATCTTCAGCCATCATCACCTGCGAGCTACATGTAGGGGAATCTGTCCCCCTGCTGCGTCCGTCTGCTCTCGTCTGTTTTCCAGGCGAGGCGCTGCTCATATCCAACACGGCCGGAGCAAAACTAAGACTGCTCAACAGCAGTCCAATCGCAGCGCTTGATTGGTTTGGTGGGCAATACCTTCCTGAAGAAACAAAAAATGGCAGCAACTCTGGACTATTTAGACTCCTATGAGTCAAGAGCAGACAGAGCTACTTGAGTTTATTTAAAAAATATATATATATATATATGTATGTATTTGCATTTTATTTGATGGAGTACGACAGACTGCCTCAGTGACTGACATCATGTTTGCATGCAGAGACGATCGGAGAGACAACCATAGACCTCGACCCACGACTGAGAGCCATCAACGGACCGTGACCAGACTAAATATTCTCATTAACAGGATGGCTTGCCAGGCTACTAGACTAGGGGCAATGGCTCGTAGTAACTTTGGCTAAAAATAGTGAAAAATGCATTCATATTTTAACTACAGATGTTATAATAAGGAACAAATCTGCACACTTATATGTGCAAAAAATGATTATTTCATGATCAAGCTGTCAGTAAGAGACTTTCATCAGGAGTGATCGCATTATTGTACTCAACACTTTATCCAGCACCTTTACACAGATAAGCAGTGTTTTCTTCTCTTTTTGTATTCAACTATAGACGTTATAAAAAAATGTAAATTTATGCAGCTTTTCAATTTTTTCAAGGAATGTTTTAATTGAATTTACACAACTGCATATTACCAGTAATATTTTTAGATCTATTTGTGATTTTTTTCTTATATAAAGTATATAAATACCATTAATTATAGCTTTGTATGTTAATTCGATCTGCAGTTGTTTACTCACTCTCCAATCTTCTGAAGATCTCCACCTCTGCCAGTGTAAAGGGTCAAACAGCCTTTCCATATAGATGCATAGCTGCAAATTAATAAACAGCAATTATAAATACGGATGAGTAGATGCTAATGACATTATGCTTAGAGCATTCCTACCCTCTGGTCAGCTTGATGATGTCCCCTGGCTGAATCAGGCTTCCCAGTTCATCCCAGACTGAGATCGCTATGCTCCCACTCTTGTCTGCCACCTTGCATGAACGCACCTCGTGACCATCTTTCGTTTTAGTCACTCGTCCTGATGGAGCAAAAATGCAATGAAATGACAAAGCTTCGCTGAGTTACGAATCTCAGATGTTCACCGTGCACATGTACACATTTATCCCTACCGCTGGTCCCTTTAAGAAACAACTGATGACGTGAGAAGCCGCTTTAGCCTCACACCGCTGCTACTCACCTATCTCCAAAACGATGAATACAATATTCAAATTTTTCGACCCGGGCTTCACATCCTTTATCAAGAAAACGGCCTCGTTACTGGTGGCTGCCATCATTGTCAATTTGTTTCGGCTCGCTTCTAATCCACCAGAAGTTAGCTGTTTAGCATCTGTCACTTAGCCACTGATAGCTTTAGCCGTAGCTCTGCTAACTAGCCTGCTAGTTGTAAGCTAACCAAACACTCCGCAACACAATTTTGTCGCTTTATAAATTGGCCAGAAGTACGTGTACGTATATATATATCCACGTTATTACATTTATGATTTGGGGTTGGATGGTTTAACGGCACCTTACCCCGTGGACACGTCACGCTGGCCAAATGTTAGCTCGCAGTCAGCACCCTTCTTTTAATTTCCTTATCTGTTTATCTTGGCTTCCCCGATTCTCACCATACTGACAGCCTGGCTCCATACATAAGGCTAGTTATCAGGGTAAAGTAACATGCCTGTTATAAATTAAATAACTAGAAATCGGGTTCAGATTAAACATGTACCAGCAGGCTGACTACCTGGAATTGCTAGTCCACTCTGGAGTAGTTATAACACTGCGATCTGTAGCGAACTGTTAAAACTTAAGGTTTGCGATTTCTGTGCCTGCAACTTTAAACTTGCAAGGTCTCGCAGTCATTAACCCCACCTAACGCTTTCAAACTATTCGACCGCATTTCCTTTGTGTGGCTCTTGTAAACTATGAGGAACTGTTAGCTTTGTTAGCGCGCAGTCTGGCCAAATGCTTTAAGTGCCAAAGTTGCTAACTGTGTTCCCTGTATGATTGCAATTGTTGAAGAGCCTTCATTTAAACATCCTGCGTCATATTCCCTACGTTATATTAAAGTCCTGACTAAATTTTAAACCCAAGCAGAAGCCCATAACACGACTAAACCTTCGTCCACAGTGCCCCAACAACTACGTCACCATGTGCAGCAGCCACCGGCGACTTTATGTAGTTAGACCAGTTCCATCGTGAAAAAAGGAGGAGGGGTCATTTATTTTCACTAACATGCTGTTTCATCGACCAAATTATAAAATACAATGTTACAAAAAATATAAAACGTACCTGGTTCTGTGTTTCTAAACATAAAGTTTCAGTAAACTACTCAATTCCCGCGTTTGCTTGTTTACAAACAGTTTACAGTAGCATGAAGTTGGTTTGTACCGGTGCGTTGTTAACGCGAGAAGAGGCTTCCTTTGCGAGATTACAGGATCGACAGACTTTAAAACGAGTAATTAAAAAAAATGTGTTGTTCATTTTCATATTTTAAGATAACTCACTTACATGTTATTATTCTTGACAAATGTTAGATTTTTTTTACATGTACACCATAACACTTTGACGTAAGAAGTAATACGTAAAGCCTAAATTTTCAACTGGAAAAATGTTTCACAGAGATGGATTTAATGTCAGTCGTTTCGCGGCATTACCCTTAGATGTGAAAAAGCTTCAGGGTGAAAAAGTTCCGTCACGAACAGGATTCGAACCTGTGCGGGGAAACCCCATTGGATTTCGAGTCCAACGCCTTAACCTCTCGGCCACCGTGACAATATACACCGTTACCTGAATACAAAAATACCTTTAAATAGACCAAAAGTTACATGATTCTGATGGTGGTATTTCTGCATGTTCATCTATTGCCCTACTAATGGAGGGTTGTTGTGTAGATAGATATACACGAAGGAGAATGTGGTGAAAGAAGCTCAGGTTTTTTTTTTCTCTAACGGTAGGGGGAGACAAACACCACGATATCCGTTCATTTGCTTAGTGTCTCACAATTTTCCTTGTAATTTCATATTACATAGCGTCACACCCTTTTAGTTGTCTATTTTCGTGAACGTTTTAATTCGTCTAGTTGATTTTCTAGTAGAGATTTAGTCAGCATTTTAAACTCGCAAAGCAACTTGTCATTAGATATATTATGAGTAGGCATCTTTCTTAATAATACATTAGGCTTCAGGTTAAATATTTACATATTTGTTCCAGAAACCCACTTAAATGCCTACTTATGTAACTTTGTTAATACAAATTGCATTCATTCTTGTTCCCAGAGACGTGAGTAAGGTAAGGACAAATAAAAGAAGAAAAGAAAGACAAGAAGACGACTTTTTATAGAGCGCCACTCAAGATAAAAATCACGAGGCGCTTCTCAAAAACAAAAATGAAAGTATAAAAAGATTTCGAAAATGATTCGAAACATGTTTAAAAGGAGAGAAGAAAAATGTAAGGAAAGGGAGAGAGAAAATGAACAAGAAAGAGGGAAATCAATGGATCCCAGGAAAGGTGGAATAAGAACAATAAGGTGGTGATGAAGGTCTCACAAAAGCCAGCTTGAACAAGTGAGTCTTCAGCTGCTTTTTAAAGGAGACCTCTGAGTCCACTGATCTCAGGCTCAGGGGGAGAGAGGTCCAGAGTCTGGGGGCCACAGCAGCAGATGATCTGTCACCTTTGGTCTTTAGCCTGGTGCTGCACAACCAGTAGGATTTGATCATTGGACCTCAGGGACCTGCTGGGTGTGTAGGGACTGAGAAGATCACCTGACTCTTATTTTGAAACAACCTTTTTTCAGTCTTGTGGTGTAGACTGCTGCAAAAGTAGCCAAGACTACACCACTGATCTGGAGATTCTCCCCATTCTTCTGTGGCCCTATTAAGTCATCACAGATGAGTACTGTGAAGTTAAGAGGAAGTTATCATGGAAAACGAGATCACTTTAGGGGTTTTACCAGTAGCAGCAGGATGGGCGTGTACACAACCAGTGTCTATAGTAATAGAAAATAACATCTGTTCCAAGTGGATCGATCCTGCTGAGAGCAGAACTAGGATGGGCCGAGTCTTGTCAGTGTGGAGCCTAGTGTGTTTGCAGATGCAGACCAAAATGAAGCGGCTGTGACAAACATGGCAGTACATGGTCAATAACACCAAGGAGAATGAAAACAGGAACTCACACAGATGGATATACACATCTAGATTTGATATTCTTTTGTTTTGTTTGGTAAATTTTATTGCAACTAATAACTGTTGTGATATTCATTCAACCTTCAAATGAAACATGAGCTTTCTGATTTCATCCTGTGCTATTTAAACAAAGGTTGAGCAACTAAACCACACCTTTGACTGACTAATCACCTCCTGTGTTGAATTTTCTTTTCTTTTCCTTTGGGTTAAGTAGGTCAGAACAAAGACCTGCATTCATCCTCAAATAAAAGCCTCAACTGTAGTTTTGCACTCATGTTTAGTAAAATGGGAGCAGCAACTCAGGTCCCCAAAGCATAGACAACATTAGAACATTAAAGCAACAGTGAACTGTTTTTAATCTTTAAAGAGAGAATGTTTTTACCGTTAATCTCTGGAAATATCCATCGAAATGTTGTTGAAAATGAACCAAACAATGCCGTTGTGGAAAAATATTGGTGGCTTCATATTAACCCTAACAATCTGATCTGAAATACATGGGAGAGGGTCTAAGGGTGTTTCTCAATGCCAAGGAACCTTGCCTTGATGTCTTGGCCCCGCCCTGGTTGCCTAAGAGATACGTCATCAAGAGCCGCCAAGATCTGTTCCAATGTTCATGTTCTACCGAGACATGTGTTCTCCGTTTGTTAGCCGTTTAGCTAGCTGAGCAAGGATGCACGGGAAGTGTCTTGTAGCCTAGCCTTGGTCAAACATTTCCCAGAATACACTGCAGTATTTTTAAAAGGATAGCGGATCAGAAGCCGGCAGCTACTTCGGGGGCAAATTTCAAGTTTAAAAGTAAGTCAACTAATTTCAAATGTTTTTTTTAGATCCAAAGAAGTTACCTATGGTTGGTTAATTGCTTAGTAGTTGCAGCTTCGGTGGCTAGCGGGTAGTAACTTGCTTATATATTTAATTTAACAAATAAATGCCAATGTCAAGTTTATTTATATAGCACATTTCCAACAATCAGAGATTGCACAAAGTGCTATACACAACCAGTAAAATAAAATGATAAAACACTGAGAAACATCCAGTAGAGCCCAGGTAAAATAAATGAACAAAGAAATCAGTACTTTTTTAAATTTATAAGCAAGGGTAAAAAGGTAGGTTTTTAAAAGAGACTTAAAAATAGCAGACCTATCTGTGGGGGAAGGCTGTTCCAGAGCTTGGGAGCGGCCACAGAAAAAGCTCTGTCGCCTCTGGACGCCGGTCTAGACTGGGGAACAGATGAAAGATTTAAAGAGGATGATCGCAAGTTTCTTTTGGGGATATGAGTGTTTAAGAGATGTGACAGATAAGGAGGGGCCAAATAGTGAAGTGCCTTAAAACAGAGCAGTAGCATTTTAAACTGAATCCTGTAAGCCAGCGGTTCCCAAACTTATTTAGCCGCGCACCCCCTTCTATGTCCCGACCATGTTGGCGCACCCCCCAGCCCCCACATCAGGGCATCTCTCTCTCTCTCTCTCTCTCTCTCTCTCTCTCTCTCTCTCTCTCTCTCTCTCTCTCTCTCTCTCTCTCTCTCTCTCTCTCTCTCCATTTCTCTCTCTCCATATATATATATGTACATATATATATGTGTACATATATATATATGTACATATATATGTACACATATATATGTACATATATATATGTGTATATATATGTACATATATATGTACATATATATACACATATATATATGTACATATATATGTACATATATATACACATATATATATGTACATATATATGTGTATATATATATATATATATATATATATATACACATATATATACGTCAAGCTAAACAGTCACTCGACAGACAGGGTTGAAAAAATATGATCAATCTCGAATTTCATACGTCATCCCAAAATAGAAGCTAATATCTTAATTTGACCTTGAATGAAAAATGTTGTTATAAAACCTCTTAAAAGTTTTTTATCACGGAGGAGCCAGCGCTCATTTCTGCCTTCAGTCTGACGGCGCGGCGCCAGAGTTTGCTCCGCGTGCGCTTATTGAATCTGTGTGTGTGTGTGTGTGTGTGTGTGTGTGTGTGTGTGTGTGTGCGACACAGCTCCATGAGCCACTCAAGTCACCGCGTCTCGTTATTGGCGCTATTTAAACCAATGTTGTAAAATGACTTCTGCCCAGCCCAGATGTGCTCACTTGTGCACCCGTGAGCCGTGGTTCCGCAGGAACACGTCTGACCTCTGACAGACGCACTCTGAACTTCAGATCTTCAGCGTGCCTGACACATTTAGAATGCTGTCCCACAGTCAGCGTGCTAATATAATAATATAATAATGCTAAAATGCTCAGATGGGAATCATTTCTTGATTTAATTTGTTACATCCATAATGTTCTGTGTGTGAGGTTTACAATGTCAGAACACCTGCATGAGACAGGTGTTAATTACAATCTGCCAGAATGACTCACCACCTTCAGATTCCTCCAACACCGTTAAAAATGATCAAATACAGAACATATCTTGCTATTGACAGCGTGCGCAGGCCAGAGCGCTGAAGCTCGGCGCGTTATTATTATGAAGCTAGGGCGCATGCAGAGGACACACACACACACACACACACACACACACACACACACACACACACACACACACACACGCACACACACACACGCACACACACACACACACACACACACACACACACACACACACACACACACACACACACACACACACACACACACACACACAAGCTAAATATACTTGTTTTCAATTACATTTATTGGGCCCACTTACTTTTTAGTAGGCCCACCCACAAATGAGTTTCTGGCTACGCTAATGGTGACATAGACTTCTCTGAGCTCCGCAGCCATTAAACTTTTCATCTTGCGCACCCCCTTGCGGCAGCTCCACACTTAGTGAATCCCTGCTGTAAGTGATCGGGAGCCAGTGAAGAGCTTGTATGACCAGAGTTATGTGATCTCTGCGTCTCCTACCTGTCAGCAAGCGAGCTGCCGCATTCTGAGCCACCTGCTAGCGGTGAATTGACGACTGCTCCAGTCCATGATATAGAGAGTTGCAGTAGTCGAGTCTCGACATGATTAGCAAGTGTATAACCTTTTCAAAGTCTTTAATTGGTAAATAGGGCTTGACTTTACTAAGAACATGCAAATGAAAGAACACGCTCTAGACCACAGAACTTATCTGTTTATCAAGCTTAAAATGGCCGTCAATAAAAAAAAAGATTTCTTGCCTGAGACACGCAAAAGGATTCTAAAGGGTCAAATACACTGTTTACCCCGTGCAACAGCCCAGGGTCCCCGAAAACGACAATTTCATTTAAAGTGAGAAGGTTCAATTGTAGCCAGTTTTTAACGTCTATTAGACAATTGTGTAATTAATCAAACGATGGCCTTCGAGAATGTAGTGGGACATATATCTGCACGCCGTCCGCAAAGAAGTGGTATGAGATGCCATGCTTTTGAAAGATGACGCCAAGGGGCAACAGTGAGAACAAGAGCAGGCCCAAAACTGAACTTTGAGGGATACCACAACTAAGTTTCGCTGGTGTAAATCACGTTACACTGGAGACGAACATCGCTGGCCCATATTTACAGTAAAAGTCCTGACAGGTAGGACTTAAACCACTGCAACACTGTGCCCTGGATGCCAACGTCATGGATAAAAGGATCTGATGGCCCACCGTATCTAAGGCCGCCGTTAGGTCTAAAAGGATCAATACAGCTGATTGACTGGAATTGATAGTTCAAAAAATATTTTTCTTAAAAGAGCAGTCTCTGTACTGTGGTAGTGCTTAAAACCTGATTGAAACTTCTCTAAAATACCATAATGGTCGAGGTATAGTCCTGCAGCTGCCTGTAGACAATTTTCTCCATATACACAATTTAAAAAGTAAAAGGCTCGTTATATATTTACTGTATATTGAAACTAATACATATAAACTATAATGTTATCTCCGTGTCTCTTGACGTTACGTGATGCAAATCTATTTCATTTAACCGTTTTCTTTGACCAAGGAAGGACAGTGTCCTCGTCTTTAGGCGACGCCTTATTAGATGCTATGTTTCCTTCTATGGGAGCCAGTGAGGACAAAATGCATTTACTGATGTGTAAGAAACAGTTACAACACTTTTTCCATTAATAAAAGTTGTTTTACTAATTTACCTCTTCAGTCATTGGAGTCTGATGTGCTTGTCATTTTGCTGGAGGTTGTGCTCCCAAGGCTATTTGATCCTAATGGCCCTCCGTTGCTATGGTTTTACGCAAACACAAAAATACTGCTTGCTTGCAATGATTTAGCTATGTACTGCCCCTATAGAGCTCCGGACATCACGTGACTCTCAGAGAGTAGACGCCATGTTGGCAGGCTACAAAGGTAAACAAAATGAACGGGATCGGCTTGGATTTTACTTCGTCGGAGTTTATTTCACACTTTAAAACCGAAGAAATTGTTTTATATAGTCAGAAATTAAATAGACTAAACATCTCCGACCCTTACCGTGCCCCTGGGATACTTTTTAAAAACACCAGAAGCTGTTGGAGCAGACTTCTTACCGTACCGGGCCAGGGAACGCCTTTGGATTCTCCCGGAGGAGCTGGCCCAAGTTAGCCTGGCAAGCCAGACTAAATAAATGTATTATTTATCTTTGCAAAGCAAGAATTTGGTCTAGTTCACTAGGCTAGGCCCAAGTGGCTGGGGAGAGGGAATTCTGGGCCTCTCGCTACTGCTCCCGCAACCCGACTCCGGATAAGCGGATGAAAATGGATGGATGGATGGACAAATAACAGATTTACACGTAAGTAGTTTAAATAGAGTGCTGTGCTGTTTGAATGTATAAACTGAACGCCAAGAGAAATCACCAGTTTGATTTTTTTCCGTGAATAAAATAAATATGTCAGGCAGGAGCGTCTCAGGATCTGTCTGAGATCTGTCTCGGTGAGACAGATAATAGCAATCCAAAGTGCTTTTGTGTGTGATCTGACAATTGATCAACCATTGCTTAAAAATTACGGCAGCACGCAGAACTCACGAGGCAATGTTTTACGTGATGTTTACTTGTTGCTATGAGTAATAAGACAGAAAAAGCTATGCCAAAATAAGTTTAGGAAGCCCACTAAGAATCATAATAAAAGCATTTAAAATAAATACCATACACAGTTGAGGAAACGTTGGTTTAAGTACCTGATATGAAGCGGTCGCTGCATAAGCGAAAACCTTTACTCTCGGGATCCCAGTTTCATTTTTGCCCGGTCACTAGCGCGTTTTATTACAATGATCCAACGTTTGCGGCGCTCCGGATCTTGGGGAATCCTGTAGATGGCTCATTCCTTATGTCGTCCGCGTCTGTTCTGCATCCTGGGGCTCAACAAGAATCTACCATATTTCCCGTTTGATTGAGTTTTCTGACAATAACAAATAGTCCAGCTGCCGGCTTCTGCCTGCCAATATGGCGCTGTTTCGATTTGAACTGTTGCATGTCGGGAGAAGTGACGTCAACTCCCGGAGCTCTATTGCTAGGGAAAACACACATTGTCACTTTAACAAATTCTATTAAAATTGGGGCTTAGTGATAAGTCTAGGTAGAAACTAACTTCACATGGGACACCACTCTGCAGCCCCTTGCTGGCCAGAAACCACACTTAACAGTTTTGTGGTGTGAGTAGGTGTCCTGTAGGGGGAGCTCTCTACCTGCTTAATGGATGTTAGTAATCAAAGGCTAGCAGTTAGTGTTTTATTTGGCCAACCATCAATAAAAAGTACAAGAAGAAAACAAAGACACCTGCTCTTTTGTTGGCATCATGGTGAAGCCTAGAAGTAAAAGTCAGAGAGGCGTATTTGGAGGTGAAGCAAATCACTAAAACGAGAGTGAAAATCAGCACAGCCTACGCTCATTTGAGGGAGCTAAAGGAGGACATGAAATCACGGGCTGATGTTGATCTGGCTTTTTTGCCACTGGACTTGTTTATATATATATTTTTTGTTCAACATTGTGGATATTTTTAGCCTAATTTACTCAAGCAGTTGGCTCAAGTTAGTGCTAGCTTGTTAGCGCTAGCTACAGCAGGGTTGCTTACAACAGTTGTAATTTCACTTTCAACCAGCAGGACACAGGAAACTGTTTAGTGTTGCATCAATAGCTAGAAATACATAACAAAACAAATAATAAAAGCACACTTTCAGAGTTATAAAATCTTTATTTATGTATGCAAGGCTAAACTTTGCATGTTTACAGGATGTGTAATCACGCGTGGTTGGGAAACTTCTGTGAAGGAACCTTCTTTGGTTTAATTGGCTAAATAAACAGGCTTAAAATAAAAGGAAAACTGGTGTTTACACTTAAATCAATACATGAAACAATTTTAGGTTAAATTTAGTTTAAAATTCTGAACTAATGGTGATCATATATTTCAGACTTAACGGCATAATTTCACATAAAAGCAAACTTTATTTAGCAGACAGATATCAGAATAATAAACAAAAATAAACAAGCAGAAAGGAACAACGTGTCCTTTTTCTGTAGCGTGATTGACAGAATAAATGGATGAAAAAAATTACAAATCATTACAGATAGAAACGTTTTTGAAAAGCAAAAAAGTATTTTATTTCCAAATCCCAAAGTTTATATATATATATATATATATATATATATATATATATATATATATATATATATATATATATATATATATATATATATATATACTTTTATTTTACACCCAAAGTACAGTTAAGTACTGGAACACCATGTGCTGCACTTTGCTTGTTTTTTAAATGTTTTTTTTTTCCGAAATACTCCCAAATGTAAAAGTAAAAGTACAAACACTTTAGCTACTCTTAAAGTGATAAATGTGCAGAGTAGATCCAGTATATGTATATATATATATAGTCTCAAATAAAAGCAGTAAACAAGTTTTCTGACTGACGAAAATATTTAATCAGACATACTGATGAATCAAGGTTTTAGTAAATATTAAAAATAGATATTTATTTTTTTTGCATTTAGTTGTAAACAAACCCCAATAATACAACATCCAAGTCTTGAGTCATGTTTTTATACTTTCTTCCAAAACAGACAACCTTTGCAATCTTTTAATAGTTTTAATCAAAAGTTCTTCAGACTTTGTGGGCTGCATTTTCATCTGGTCATTTCTGAAGGGGGGTTTAAAACGTTTGCACAACACTGTACACTGCAAGTTCTTTGCAGTTGCAATTACTGAAGCGTTCTTGTCTTGTCCATCGCAGTGGAATTTTGTTTTCTTATTCATCAATATTTGTAAATACTTTCACCATTTAGTTTTTTCTTTAAAACCCACAATAAGTACACTCAAAATAAACTAACAATACAAGTTAGATGTACTTGTGCAATAACATACCTCTAAATATAGTAAATGAGTGTTTAATTTTAATTGTACTTTAAGTGACAGGTATGACAGCATCAATATACGGCTGTGTTCAATTTGTGACTTGTGTGATAGGTGAATTTGTGAATTTGTTCAATATATGAGTAGTCCTATTAGAAACAGGTCCTGTTGATAATCCTGCACGTTTACATACAGATCTGAGATGTTTATCGCCTTTTGTGATTTATCTTATTCAGAGTCACTATAAATACCCCATTCATTCAAGCTGAAAACAAAGTTACCCAATCCAGCTCCAGCTGTTTTTCCGTGGATCCAAAAAACGTGTTTCAATTCCCAGTCAGCAGACTGTCACAACTTTAATGCCTCTCTGCAGACATGCATGCACGCCTTAACCAAAGGCAACAACACCTGAAGAGTTTTCCCCACACATCCCAGCACCGATGCCCAGGGTCCATAACCACCTTGCGTCTGGGAGCTCCTACAGGGCTACACCTGTGGCTCCACAGATCCTCATCCACTTTCAACAAGGAGGCCAAGAACAAGAAAAATGGGCCGAGCAGGAACCATTCGTCAGACCTAGGAATGCTGTCCTCTGCTTTTATCTACTCCTGTAACTTCTCCAGTATCTGGATCCTTGGCACCTGGTACAACTTCACTCCATTATTTTTAGGAGTTATGACATAATGTAGCCTGCAACTGGGGTTGGTAAAACGATAACTGTGAAATACCACGAAGGATGGTGTTTACTTCATCATAATGTTCACTGTGGCTTGGTAGTTTCGCTTTTCTTTTTGAATTATTTGTAAAACCTCAACTATGAATCAAATTAAAATAAAAAAAGTATTTCTGGCGTGTTTTGCTTTCACTCTTATCTGCAAAAAAAAAAAAAAAGTAGGACTCTACTCTTTTAAAGAGTGCAGTTACTCTAACCAGCCTGTGCAGGTTTAGGGCAGTGTAAAAAATGTTATTGTGCTTTTGGAGAAACTAAGCATAGATTTTACTTATTGCCTCACATAAAAATGAGAAAAGCCTGCATGGTCACATCTGAATTATTGCCTTTGTTCTGCAATGACATCCTTCATCTGTCTTAGTTTTTGCACGTTAGCATTATTCCAATATAAAGAAATCTCTAAACATTTTAACCTTTTGTCCATTTCAAGTTCATTCCACTGTTGTTTTACTCCAATGTCCGATTAAATTTGAGTTGTTGGAGACCAAACAGCAATTATATAACATTACTATATAATGCAGCACATGCAAAGGTGTAAATAGGCTATCAATGGAGATACTGATAAATAAGAAACCAGGTCTCACCAAAAGACTAGCTGATAATTGTATAGTTGTTATATGATACAGGCACTTGTGTTACTGAAGTCACCCCTTGCTGAATTTGTGGGCTTTCTCAGGTTGAGCCAAAGAGAAAAAAAAATCCAGTAAACAACCCACTACTTTAAAAACACCCCAGGCCAGTACACTGGGGGAAAAAATCCTCATTCCAATTCTAAAACAACCTGGCAACACCCTGCCTCAGCAGGCTGTGGGCTGCAGCACTTGCCAAAGATTTATTATTTTTACCAATAAAAGAACAAAAGAGGCAGTTTTTGAAAGAGGAGAAGAGCAGAGGCAGACAAGCACAGCAGGAGAAAGATGGCTGCGCTAGCGCCTCAGAACTGTGCACCTATTTACCTATTTCGGGGGGGGGGGGGGGGGGGGGGGGGGACTAGTTGAAGGGTTAGGGTGTATTTCTGCATTTCAACAACCTGACACCAGCATTTACAATTAACCTGAACTAGACCGTTGATTTACAGTTTTTAAGACTGAAACCCAACGCATTTTAGGATTTTCAAAGTCCGTACGAATGTTTGGGTTGTAGGAAACATGTAGGACTTAAAGACATAAGTCAGGAATACGGTTCCGTTCAATACAAGTAAAACCAAAAAGCACTCACAAGAATAATATGTGCCTGTTGGGTTTTCTGGTGTTTTAGAAACAAAAGAATGATATTCAGATTCAAAACATCTATGTGAAGGTAGAACTTGTGATATTAGGACACTTGCTCCACAGCAATTGTTTCTGTGGGAACCTGGACACCTGCTGCCACCTCAGCAGCGACTGTGTGTTTCTCTTCTCCCTTTTCTTCCACCTCACCAACATCATCGGATTCTGGAACCGCCAGGCCAGCCACACCATCGCCATTCACCTCACACTCAACGCTGGGTGTTTTTCCATTGAGCGAAACATCCACCTTCAAGCCCTCTGCCTTAGGACTCTCTACCTTCACACTCTCTACCTTCACACCGTCTACCTTTACACCATCTACCTTCACACTCTCTACCTTTACACCATCTACCTTCACGTTCTCTACCTTTACACCATCTACCTTCACGCTCTCCTCTTTCAGGCTCTCTGAGTTGGAGCTGTTCAGCGTCTCCTGCAGCTCCTCTACGATGCTCTCCTGACTGTGCAACTCCACTGCAGGAATCTTGCCATCAAGGCTTCCCAAGGTAGGAATCTCCACATGGGCTTCTCCCACTGGTGAGCTCATTTCCTGTGAGGGATCTGTTCCATCTCGAACCTTCTTGACATTGAAGGTCATGGGAGACACCTTGAAAGACGAGGTCTTGGCAGATGAGCTCTTGGGGTGGTTAGGGGTGAAGCTCTTCTTTATTTTCTCACGTTTTTCTGGTGGCACAATCTTGGAGGAGATCTTAGTCATCTTCTTTTCAATGTTCTCCCGTGTAAAAGCTTTCTTCAGGCTATCAACTTTCTTCAGACTGCTGCGCTTGAACTGGTCAGCCCTTCTCTCAAATTTGACAGGGGATATTGCAGCAGCCTCATACTCCATCAATTCACTCCCCAGAACATCATCGTCCTCATCTGTGCTCGTGTTGACAGGCGGGAGAACCTCTTCTTGTGCTCCAACAGCTTCAACGGACCCCGTCATAGATGGATTAGGGCGCGTGGACTCTGCATCGTACTGGCTCGGCTGTGGGGTCTTGAGGGCATCCTTGACAACCACGCCAGCAGGGATCTCTTGTTCTTCCTGTTGGAGAAAAAGAGAAAAAAAGCAGCATGTTAACAAGGGAGTTGTTTTGATTTTCTGTGAAAATGGCTTACAGCAGTCTTAGACAATTCAAAATTCATAAAAATAAAACTGTCCTTTATTTGGACATGGACCCAAGCATCCTGCTAGCATGGCCTGCCAGACCCCTCCTCTGTTTGATTCTGCACAGAGAGAGTGTGGGAACTCTCCTATTCAAATAACCCCACCCCACGAGAATTCTAACCGAGCCAATCAGCGCTGAGTAGCGTACGTCACACACCACAACGCCGAGTTTGTCGAACATGGCGACTGAAGCGGAGTTCGCTGCGGCTCTTTCCTCTGGTCTAAATGATTTGGACACAACAAGTAGAAGCACTAAAAGCCTTTCTTCTAAAGAAAGATGTTTGCGCTGTCGCCAGACTCCATTTTTGACTATAGCTAAAAAAAACTACAGCGTCGTGGACGTCACACACAACGATGCTCAGTTTGTCATAAACAACAAATACAGCTGCGGAGTTTGCTGTGGCTCTTTCCTCTGTTCTAAATGACTCAAATGTCTTTAAAACCACAAGTAGAAGCGCTAAAAGCCTTTCTTCTAAAAAAATAAAATAAAAGATGTTTGCGCCGTTGTCAGATGCCTTTTTTTTTACTACAGCCAGAAAACTACAGCATCACGCGGCACAGTCGGGATTTCCATCTTTTTTCTGATTGGTTACTTTTGAGTTGCCTGGTCCCGCCCCTCAAGTGCCTTTCTGCCTGTGAGTTACCAGACACTTTCTCTGTGCAGAATTAAACAGAGGATGAGTCTGGCAGGCCACGCTAGCATCCTGCTGGAACATATCAGTGTATGTACCTTTTGCACACTTCTCTGGAGCATGCCTTCCCCCTCTACGAATACCCATTTGTGCTCGAACTGTGCACTTTCAGCTCTGAGAAGCTGAACAGGAAGCTAAGCCAGAGCCGAGCTAGCTACGTTAGCTAGCATACTACATTGTTACAAGGTTCAGTAGGCTGAGGGCATGTCCAGTATAAAAGGCCTACCCTGCTAGATCTCTGTAACAACTAGGGATGCACCGATGGATCGGCATTTGATCCCAATCGGTCGATAGCGCCTCTATCGGCTTTGATCGGAGTTTTCAAAATAGATCAAAGCAGACCGATCAGGTAGGGTTGTCACGGTAACCGGTGTAGCGGTAAACCCCGGTAAAAAAAAGTTGACAATAATAATAACCGTCTTGTTTTTTAAAAAACTATATTATCTCAGTGGGTTTACCGTGGCTGCGGTGTAGGCGCGGTGACCCTTACCAGCCACCGTATCATCTGCTGAAGTTGCCGGCGGCACATGCGCACTTTGTTGTTTACAACCAAAACTTTCTTGAAGCTAAAGCTGAAATAATGGCCAAAGGAGGAGACGGCAGCACTCGGGACATTTATTATCCCTCAAAGAAGACAAAGTGGGAAGTACGGGCATCTTTTGGATATGTGAAGAATGCCGAGGGACAGCTGATAGAAGACGGCTATCCTGTTTGCAGCGCGAGCAGAAAAAGTGTCTGTGAAAGGCAGCAGCGCTTCAAATCTCATGACACATCTGCGTGACCATCACCCACAACTCTACAGTCAACGCAAGGCAAGCTAACGTTAGCGTTTTAGCTAAAATGCGTGATCCGAGGATTTGGGTTGAGGGAGAATGCAACGAGTGGCTATATAAAGCAGCCGCAGCGCCGCTACCTGCATATAAACCGTGTCGCGGACACCGCCATGTTGAAATGACGCTATGCATTACGGGGCTCCCAGGGGCCGATAAGAGTTGGTCTCTCTCCGAGAATAATTATGAATTTAACAACGATTACTGCCTGATGACATTTTCCCACATCTGCAAAGCTCACTGGAAGGACACAAACCGAGGACAATATTCTCCTGATATAGGGTTTATTACTCAAGTAAGGGTAAAAAAGTATCTGATTAGAAGGCTACTTGAGTACTGAGTATCATCTGATCTAATATTTTTAAAATGATGACATCAAACAGACATAAAATAAGAAGTTATGGGCAAATATTGGTATTTTAAAGACTAAAGGGGAAAAATGTAAACAAATAAACAACATAATTACAAAATAACACATTTTAGGCTAAATTTAGACACAAACTGAGGACAATATTTCCTGACATACAGGGTTTATTTAATTGTGTGAAAATGTAGCACGTTTAAAAAAAATACCGCGATAATACCGAAAACCGTGGTAATTTTGGTCACAATAACGGTGAGGTTACATTCTCACACCGTGACGACCCTAATCCAGACCATTTTAGATTAGGTTACATTTCCTTTATTCCCAGATTATGTAGTTTGTAGCACTCATTATAATGTTGTAGAAAATTTCTGGTATCGGTATCGGTGATCAGCATTCTTTGATATCGGTATCGTGATCGGCAGCAAAAAACCTGATCGGTGCATCCCCAGTAACAACCCTAACCCCAGCGTGTTTACAAAGGAAAGGTTTGGATTTTCTGTGAAATAAGCTTACAACTGGTCGAGACAAACTTTATAAAAATAAAACTAATCTTTATTTGCATATAGACCCAAGCATCCTGCTGGTATATATTTGTGTTTACTTAAATGTGGGGTAGGAGAGGGTTTTCGGGAGCCCGCACCCCCCATTCTCAGCTCGGTGCAACTGAACAGGAAGCAAAGCTAGAGCCAGGCTAGCTATGTTAGCCAGCATACTAAATTGTTTTAAAGTTAAGTAGCCTGAGCGGAGGTGGCGGAGGGGGTTGCAGTGTAAGAAGCCCAGTCCTTCCTGCTGGATCTCTGATTTAGATCCCAGTGGTTTCTCTCTTAAAGTCCATCAGAGTCCTGGAGGCCCCACAGCTGTTAGGTAGATGATTTAGGTTAGGAATTAAGACTGAAAAGGTCCCAACGGGTCACAAAGGTGAGACAACATTATGTTCTTATGGTTGACTGACAGAATTTGTTGCGTCTGGCATTCCCCTGGAAGCATGACTTACGGGGAGCCTGAAGAAAGGGTTGGACCTTTGAAGAACATTTTTTCAAAACATAGCTTGCTTGAATAACTTTTGTCAGTACCATCTACCCTACCTGTAAGAGTAGACGTGTTCCCTGTAACATAAACAAAAAAACAAACAAAAAAAAACTAATCTTATCTGAAGACTGATTAATACTCTCTGGCATCTAGGTTGGGTCTGCCTGCTCCGGACTTAAAGAACCAGTTCCTGCATGCCTCCCTGATTTTTCCTCAAAACCTTTAAGGAATTCCTCATTTTTCTTTTGAACAACTCCATTCTTTTATACCTCTCCTGGCTCTGAAACCAAATCCATAAACACAACAATAACCATAAACGGGATAGGGAGCAATGAGTGTCTGTGATTAACTTGCTGCTCTTGCTAACGTTTTATCTTCTTCCCTTCTTTGACGTACGCCCACTCATCTGTGCATAATCAGACCCACACAGCCTCACACCTCCAATCTTCTCCTTCACTGGGGATTTATGAGTTGAAGCTCCCACCCCTCCTATCGCCCTTATTCTTTCACACCCATGAGTGTGTGAAGGTGCAGCTTCAGTAGTTGATATACTCCACTAAACACATGAAATGCTCACAAACAAACCCTCTTCCTCCACAGCTCAAAGTATCACGGGAATTCTGAGATTTGAGTTAATGTAGGACACTTTATAGTAAACTCTACTGTTTTATGGTTGACGTCACATGATTTTGAGGTTTTATTATCAGGTCCTGTAACCTTTCTGCAATTATGAAGATGGGAATTTTCTTTTTTTCCATGCTTGCTCCGAAAGTATGCATGCAGCCATCAAGCACCAGTTGTAGGCCCTGCTTGCATTCGGTGTGCTGTGGAGTGATGCAGCCTGCACACACTGATGAATTTGCATTAAAGTATGACTGCCTTTCAAAGAATGCAAGGCAGCTACAAAGGGCTTCTAGCAAAAATTGTCTCTAAATGACATTGCGTTCTGTTTTCTCAACTAGCATTGTTACAGACTGGGCCAACAACATGGTTGGGAAGAGTCGTGCGCTCCGATTACACAACTGCAGTGCATTTATCGGCTTCTTCTGTTTTGATCGTGTGTCATTTTCTGCTTTTGCTTTGTTTTCAGTTTTTCTATTTTTATTTTTTCCACAACAGAGGCACCGTCTAGTTTTTGATCACCTATGATACACCGGATATCTCGCGCCTTGATCGCCAACATGCAGCTGTAATTTAGGTGAAGAATGTGCAATATCTGAGTTAATGCTATTAACTCTGTCAGCAGGTTCTTGAAAACAGCATAGCACCAACCCTGAGAACAGGAACATATTTTAAAGAAAAATGGAAGTAAACGTTGTGAACTCTACAGTTCACAGAACAAAAATGGTAAAGGTAAATAAATGAGGTAAATGTAATTCTAATGCGTCAACCATGACAAATAACTTAATCATTGGCTTGCTTTTATTTAGAGCAAACCACTGTAAGAATTCAATTGTTTAGAGAAAATAAGAGACTAGTTTTTGATTGGTTCATGAAAGGAACAGTTGCAATATTTAATGAAATGCATCGCTGCCCCCCCCCCCCCATTGCACCTTGCAGATGTGCAGCAATAACGTTTTAAGACTTGCTCAACTTCTGACAAAAATAATTTGATGGTTCCACCTTATGCATGGTGAATGTGCTGCCCAGGTTTCTGCTTTCATATATTTTGAAGAAACATAATTAGGAAAACTTGGAATTTTTCTGCAAGTATGTCTTATGCCCCAAATGACCTAGCTGATGCCATAGGCACCACTTCAAAGTGATTTCAATTGGAAAGTTTTCCTTGCTTCTCTTACAAGTCACCAACAGTCCCAGCTCAGTTCAACTCTGACCAGTGCAGAGTTTAAACATTCTGGAATAATTTGTTCTTTTTAAGTCCCCAGGAAAGCTTTTCCTGATAATAACACCTGAGCACTGCTGGTTGTTTGCTGTTGGAAATGCCATCTGAAGATTCAG